TCTCTCTCTCTCTCTCTCTCGCTCCTCTCTCTCTCTCTCCTCTCTCTCTCACTCTCTCTCACTCTCTCTCATCTCTCTCTCTCTCTCTCTCTCTCTCTCTCTCTCTCTCTCTCTCTCTCTCTCTCTCTCTCTCTCTCTCTCTCTCTCTCTCTCTTTCTCTCTCTCTCGTTCTCTCTCTCTCGTTCTCTCTCGTTCGTTCTCTCTCTCTCTGGTTCTCGCTCTCTCGTTTTCAATCTCTCGTTCTCTCTCTCTTCCTCTCGTTCTCTCGTTTTCGATCTCTGGTTCTCTCTCTCTTCCTCTCGTTCTCACTCCCTCTCGCTCTCTCTCACGTCCTCTCTCTCTCTCTCGTCCTCTCCCTTTCATTCTTCTCATTCTCTTTTAAGCTCAATTCTTAATATCACATCTTTCTTCTTGTATTCGATGCTTCTTTTTTGTTATCACAGATACTCGCTTGTAGGCAGGATGGATTTGAAGGAAGGGAGTGTCGTACCACTTACAGTGCATTTTTTTAGTTCCTTATTATGAGTAATTGTTTGATTTGTTTCATTTCTGTTTGTATTATGCTTCTTCTCGTTGCAATCGTAATGCATGTCTGCATTTTCCAGAAAAATATCTTGCCGATCATCGTCACAAAAGGTTGAGTGGTCCACCACTATGACAGTGAAGCCATTTTCAGCTGGACTTGATCGGTTTAGATTTTTTTTGAGATATGCAGATTGTATTGCTTTGTTACAGTAGCTGTTGAATTCAACGTTTATATTGCTGACTTCCCCGACACGCTAGGCGGGGGAAGCGGTAGTATAAATTTAAAATTTCAAATATTCATCAAATCATTTGATGAATATGAGAAATGCAATTATCGTTTGGTCGGTCATTGCAGTTCTCCACAGTTTCTCACCTTTCTAAATCATGCGCGTTACAAAAGAACGATGTGCAGAGTACCGTAGTAATGACCAGCAAATGACCAGAAAGCTAAACAAGTACGGTATGATAATTACGAAAATATTGTCAAGTTTTTTAGTACCCTAAACAACCATTTTTCAGTTATTTTACAATGTTTTTTGTTTTTTTTTTACAAATAATTAGAATTTCCTTAAAAAAATTTTGCTTTAGGTCGATTGCAATAGGTTGCTTCGCAACCCAAAAAAAAAAACACACACACATTTCGTGGTTAGACCAGCAAATGAGTAAGCAACCGCAAAACTGTGTTCCATTTGTAGGAGCAATGACTAACCTGCAATTTCCAACATGCTCAAAGTGTCCCCATTGCATAATATATACCTCCCTTTTGCTGCATCCTTCTCCAGTGCCAAAACATGAGCAAGGGCCACATCGTTGATGTGCACTATGCTGAAATACAAACTAGGAGCCAAAAACAGCCGATTCTCCAGAAGTTGCCTTATCACCTGGCAAAGTGAAACGTTGACAAATACAGTCTTAGTAATGTTGTGTGCAAATGCCAGAAAGCACGAGTAGCGCCATGACATGAAGCATGACGAGATGACTTACGTTGAGGCTTGTCCGAGCGTGCTCCTCACGCATAACTCTACCAAACACCATGGTTGGACAGATTGTGACAAGGTCAAAGGTCCAGTCCCGTCCCTTGAGATCCTCCACTAACTTCCAGGCATATCTTTCCGCAAGAGTCTTACCCATCGGGTAAGGATCATGAAGACCCCAATTTGCGTTCCAGTCTTCTTCAGTTAACACTCGATTTGACGAGTAGTCCATGATTGCTGCTGCAGATGATGTCAAAACCACCCGTCTGAAATTGTGAAGGCCAAACCAAGCAGCGGAAGACAAAGAGGGAGCGGAGTGAGAATTCGGGCAACAGATATAGCAGAGCAGCCTGAACGCACATATCTAGTTGTAAAAAGCGAACGCGAAGGAACCCAGTTGAGTCCACACCAAAGGCCTACTTCGCCGTTTTATGCTTGAGGATGGAGGAGAACACATTCTCTGTCCCCTGGACCGCTGCGTCGACAACCTTCTGCGGATTCGGCTCTTTCAAGCTAACAACCGCAGCGACGTGGCAGACAAATTCACATCCTTCGACGGCTTCATCAAAACTTCCAGGCGTATTCAAGTCGGCTGAAAACAGTTCGAGCTTCCCTGGCCTTCCCTTAGCCTGCGAAGACGGGAACCATGTCACTACCTCTGAAATAGTGGTCATTAATACAGCGATGGTTCATTGCGGGTTCTTACGAGGTCGCGAATCCATGATGTCTTCTTTTCGTTGCTCGCATCCCGAACTGTTCCTTTCACGTTATAGCCCCGATCCAGAAGCAGCTTGACAACATAGCTTCCAATAAAACCTGCACTCAACTAGCCATGAAACATCACATCGTCAATAATTTTGCTCGGCAAAAACCGTATACAAAACTTGGAAGTGAGTTGGGCGAATAATGAGTTATTTACCAGAAGCTCCAGTGACACAGACTTGTTTCCCTTCCCCAGGCACGGAGCCCTTGTTGACCATTGGGACTGTCAGAGTCGACAGAACCACCTCGCTCAGCAGCACTCACTCGTCTGTGAGCAGCACATATACAACCCACCCCCAAATCCCCCCACCCCAACACCTTTCGCATCGCACGCCAATCACCACCAGGTGAAGCCTGCTAGATCCAGTACCGTGTACGCTTTACAAGTTCGCGACCACAAGTTCCCGCCTAAGACGAGCCCACCTTGTACCACTGCCCCCATCAAAGAACGGGCTGCGCGAAAACGGCAAAGTGGGCGGCAGAGTGAGGTAACCACCTCCAATTCAGAAACCCGCGCAGACAAGAAATCGGATTGGCAAAGCCAGGTTACCAATTTCAATTTCGCGTCGGAAAGTCGCCGTGAAATTTGTGTGCCTGCATGCTGGTGGAGGTGTGTCAGATGCGCGGACAAGCCGCACTTCCAATGTGTGTCAGAGTACACAAATGAACACTGTTCTGAGACTCGTAAAAAACCCTTCAAATTCCAAAACGTAGACCCCTTTTGTATTACCAAGAATCAGTTTGTTTATTATTATTATTATGATTTATTACTATTTTCCGTTGCCCAATCGCCTTATTTGCCACATGTTATGCATGCAAATCGTATTCCATGATTCTAAAGCGAAAAAGGAAGGTCATACAAGTCAAGTGACCATGGTGATGCGACTGCTGCTGTTGTCAATGCTGACACTACAATTGTCAGGCACATGGCAAGCCAAGGCATAGTGCACATGTAGCAGTGGCTGCATGGGACCGCGACAGCAGCAGAAGCAGCAACAGGCAACCACATTTCCCCAACCCTTGAATGATGAATAATTGCACTGCATCCTCGAAGTCTCATGCATAATCCCCCACTGCCTCCAAAATCCCCTTCTCACCAGTCTGTTTGTTGTTCCTGCCTCAGAAGGCCCAGCACTGTCTTCACTGAGATAGTGAAAACGCTAACCAAGATGTCCAAGTGCAGTGCCTCCAGCACAGCCCATACCACTAATTCCATGGCTTTACTGACATGGACTGCGCCGCTCCTTGCCACATCAACTACCCAACCACTGGGCCCACCTGTCCTCATATTACTGCACTTTTGCACGGCAGGAGTGATTCCAAAAGAACCTTGTTCCGCGACGTAGAGTATCTCCTTTCCCTCTTGTTCCACGACGTAGAGTATCTCCTTTCCCTTCCCCAATTGCATGCACCTGTGTGCAAGGAATGGTGATCCAAGGATACTGCACTTGCAGCTAACGTACTGCTGCGCTTAGACGGTGCGGGTCCATGCTCCCCACCCTCTCCCTTCTTCCACCCCCTCTCACTCCACCCTTCCCCTTGTCCCTGTTCCAGACGTCCGCCTTTTGCACTGTGCACTGTCACAACCCTTGCTGCTCTGGCCGCTGCTGCCTATTGCTGCTTTAGGCTGCTGACTCTGACCAACATGAGAAAGGTGATAAAGCGAACCAGCAGACCAAAACTTAACAGCACCAGCAGGTTCAGCCACATATTGAGGTCGGGCTGCCCCACCATAGTCACCATCAGCTGCTGCCCGTCCTGTAGGCAAGTTGTTCACGAAATGTTGCTGTAGGGCGTGTCCGCAAAGAGCATCTTCATTCCCCGGAAAGTATTGTTCATTGTTGTCGCGTTGACGTAAGGTTCTAGCGGAGTGTCCTTGAACATACTTCCAACAACCCAGTAGCAGGGTCCTGAGCGGGTGAATTCGCTCTGAATAAGTGCCTCGTAGGCGTATTTCATAGGCGAAAGGTAGTGTAGCCAGATCCAGCAGTTGGGGATGTTGAATTTGGGAATGTAGAAGCCGCTGAATAGGGCGAAGTAGGCCATGAAGCCGAGTCCAAGGGCGTATGCCAGCACGACGCTATTGGGGAGGAAGAAAGAGACGACGAGAGGGGGAGATCAGGGAAAGGGTTAGCAAGAGTGTGACGGGACGAGGTTTGAGCGATCCTGAATGCAGTGACAGCAACGTCGACTCGAAGGAGTTGATGGGAACCTGGGGGAAAAATGAAGGAGTGATCATGGGGAAGGGAAGGAAACTTACTGGTTCACAGCAACGCTGATGGCGACGGCAAATGAGCTTGCAGCGAAGAGGATAAGGAAATATGTCAGAACCATGAAGAAGAATCCTGCAGCGCCGCCAGTGAGGTTGATCGCCCACCAAACCTCCAGGGCGAAGAGTAAAGCCAAGGTGACATGCAGCAGGAAGTACACGAGCGTCGTCGCGACGAGGTAGGTGGAGGGGTGGTACGCATTGCGCGTGGTTTCGCGGATGTAGATGTTTCGCTCCTCGATGAAAACCGGCACGGCGTCCAGGCAGCAGAAGAAGAGTACGGAGATGGAGAAGGAGAAGAACGCCAGTCGCTCCTGGAAGCCCGTCAGGTTGAGAATGAGCGTGAAAACGGGAAGGAGGGAGAGGGTGAGAAACGATTAGTGCGAGAGAAGGGGTGTGGAGGGATCCCTGTTGAGCAAAACGTAGTTTCCCCTGAAAGCCCTGTTTGTGAATGTCGCTTATCCAGTTTGAAACACACTTACGCGAAATATTCTTCCATCTCGTCACCTCCTCGCAGGCCAATCACATGAAGGCGATCGCAAACAGGCGCACTCCCCGCTTGAACAAGCCGCAAATGATGGTTGCGCTCATATCGCCAGCTTACCTATTTCCGACCCTTATCTCAAAACAGCCAGGAGCATTATAATCATCGGCTAACCTCTAGTCTGGGTTGGAATCGAGCGTCGCGAGCATGACGCCCGTCACGGCCACCTTCGCCAGCCGTTGGAGGTAGAGAGCCGCACGTTTCGTCAAAACCATCAGCTCGTCCGTCCACCCTTTGGCGTACCGCCGCCAAGTGTTAGTCACCACGCCCTCGTCATCATCATCGTTCTCCCTTACAATGGATTTCTTCGCAGTGATCGCGGCGACGGATGCGGCGGCAACTACGGCGGCGGCATCGACGACGGGATCTGCCCTAGAGCAGCCATCGAGCTGCATGGCCGCAGCGCCGTCGGCGACATCAGCGCGGCAGGCGTTTGCGTCCGAAGCAGAATGAAGGGCCGGAAGCGCGGCGACGGTCTCGGTAATGCTCCCTTTCACGAGCGACGACAAATGAACGGAGTCCTGTGACATGTGCGACGTTTGCTGGTACGATGTGGCGTATGCGACGAGTTTTGCGATCCCACTGGACGACCGCTGATACTCCTCGATAAGATCTATGGCGAACTCGGCATAGTTAGCAAATCGCGGCACGGGACAGCCGAACGACTCGAGGAACGTGGGAAGATGGGGAGGCGGGCCGTCAAAAATAGTATACCCCGACGCGAGGAGCAGCAAATGGTCGATTAACGACAGCACTCGGAGAATAGGCTGGTGCAGAACCATGATGGCGATGCTGCCGGTCTGCACGGCGATGTCTTTAATCGCCTGCACGACGCGGTAGGCGCTGGTGGAGTCTACAACGGAGGTGGGCTCGTCGAGGAAGAGGATCCGCGGATCGCTCACCATCTCCATCCCGATCGCCACGCGCTTGCGCTCCCCGCCGGACACGCCGCTGCGGGGCGGGGGGGGGGGGGGGGGGGGGGGGAGGGAGGGGAGGGGAAGTTGAATAGGAAATGCGAGGGAAAGGGGGGCATTGACGAGCGACAACAGGCGACGATGTTACAACAGACTCACGTGCGGAGCGCGCGTTGTGCGAAACGTGGACGATAAAGCGAAATGAGAGTTACTGATATACATGAGAGATGCCGAGATGTACAATGAGAAAGCTATAGCGGGGCACGAAAGGGGGAGGGGAGATGTTTTCGTGTGACCGTTGGCTTTCGTTCCCGATGAACGAATCGGCCACCTTCGTCAGACCCAACAACTCCAATAGACTCTCCACCTTCTGCTCCTTCTCCTCCCGCGTCATTCCGCGCGCCACGAGGCGCAATTTCGCAGCGAACATGAGCGTCTCACGCGATGTCAGCGAGGGGAACATGAGGTCGTCCTGCATCACGTACGCCGATATGCGCCGCACTGTATCCCCGCGAACCATGACACCGTCCAGCTCCATCGAGCCCGACCGTCGTTCCCTCGCGATGCGGTGCGCAAGGATGTCAAGGAGCGTCGTCTTGCCCGAGCCGCTCGCACCAATAATGGCCGTGACCTCGCCGGATCTCGCGGCGCCATTGACGTCGGCGAGAATCGTGCGTATGTAATGCTTCTTCATCGTTAATTGCCGTGAAACCGCGCTCAACTTGCAGCTCCAACTTCGGCTGATGGCGGTATCGCTTCCGTCACCGGCGGCGGCGCCGGCGCTGGCGTCGCTTCCCCGGTTGCTGCGCGTAGAGACGGTGTAGGACACGTGGCGAAAGTTGAGCTCCATAGACCTGGGGTAGAGTGGTTTTTTGAATAACCCATCTTCAGATTCGGCTGACGAACCGCACTCGATCTCCACTTGATCCGCTTCTTGTTTCATCAATGATGTGGAGGACGACGAGGAGGAAGTTCTCGAGGTCGACACGCGCTACGGAGAGGCTTCTTCTGAGTCGCGCGTTTGGAATGAGATGCTGACGCCGGTGTCAGGGGTGGGAGAAGAGGCGTCAGGCGGAGACGGCGGAATGCGGAGGAGGCGCACCTAGCGGATAAGCGCATCGTGTGTTCATTTAACCAGCTCGGAAAGGAGGGAGGGGTTGCGGGCGGGCTGAGGATGGTGGATGTGCGCGGGCCAGTGCGTGCTGCTTACAGCTCTACTCTGATTCGTTGCTGCCATGCTGGCTGCTTGCAGCTGTACTCTGATTCGTTGCTGCCATGCTGGCTGCTTGCAGCTGCACTCTGATTCGTTGCTGCCATGCTGGCTGCTTGCAGCTGTACTCTGATTCGTCGCCGCCATGCTGGCTGCTTGCAGCTGCACTCTGATTCGTAGCTGCCGTGCGGGCTGCTTGCAGCTGCAATCTGATTCGTTGCCGCCATGCTGGCTGCTTGCAGCTGCACTCTGATTCGTCGCCGCCATGCTGGCTGCTTGCAGCTGCACTCTGATTCGTCGCCGCCATGCTGGCTGCTTGCAGCTGCACTCTGATTCGTCGCCGCCATGCGGGCTGCTTGCAGCTGCACTCTGATTCGTCGCCGCCATGCTGGCTGCTTGCAGCTGCACTCTGATTCGTCGCCGCCATGCGGGCTGCTTGCAGCTGCACTCTGATTCGTCGCCGCCATGCTGGCTGCTTGCAGCTGCACTCTGATTCGTCGCCGCCATGCTGGCTGCTTGCAGCTGCACTCTGATTCGTCGCCGCCATGCGGGCTGCTTGCAGCTGCACTCTGATTCGTCGCCGCCATGCTGGCTGCTTGCAGCTGCACTCTGATTCGTCGCCGCCATGCTGGCTGCTTGCAGCTGCACTCTGATTCGTCGCTGCCATGCTGGCTGCTTGCAGCTGCACTCTGATTCGTCGCCGCCATGCTGGCTGCTTGCAGCTGCACTCTGATTCGTCGCCGCCATGCTGGCTGCTTGCAGCTGCACTCTGATTCGTCGCCGCCATGCTGGCTGCTTGCAGCTGCACTCTGATTCGTCGCCGCCATGCTGGCTGCTTGCAGCTGCACTCTGATTCGTCGCCGCCATGCGGGCTGCTTGCAGCTGCACTCTGATTCGTCGCCGCCATGCTGGCTGCTTGCAGCTGCACTCTGATTCGTCGCCGCCATGCTGGCTGCTTGCAGCTGCACTCTGATTCGTCGCCGCCATGCTGGCTGCTTGCAGCTGCACTCTGATTCGTCGCTGCCATGCGGGCTGCTTGCAGCTGCACTCTGATTCGTCGCCGCCATGCTGGCTGCTTGCAGCTGCACTCTGATTCGTCGCCGCCATGCTGGCTGCTTGCAGCTGCACTCTGATTCGTCGCCGCCATGCTGGCTGCTTGCAGCTGCACTCTGATTCGTCGCCGCCATGCTGGCTGCTTGCAGCCGCGCTCTGATCACGTCACTGAGTTGTCGCCGTGGCCACAAAGCTCATCCATGCCTGCCTCCACCTGGTTTTTGAGAATTCTCACTGGTCTTTTTAGAATTCTCAAAAACCAGCTAAGCTCATCCCCGGGCGTGCTTGCCTCCACCCGTCATTCACTGGACGCATCTTATGGCAGTGCATACCGTACCAGCTTTCTCGTTTCCCGACAGGCCGTGGCTTGAGTGGAGTAGAGTGGCGGCGTAGCGCGCACCAAGGCACAGGCAGCACAGCACAGCACGTTGTGAGAGTTCTCAAAGTGCTTGCTTACCACAGCACGTTGTGAGAGTTCTCAAAGTGCTTGCTTACCAACTCCCTCGTTCCCCGACAGGCTGTGGCATGGGTGGAGCAGAGCGGGGGTGTAGCGCGCACCAAGGCGCTGGCAGCACAGCACTGTGCACTGGCAGTGCAGGCAGTGCAGGCCATGCCAGCAGCCAGCATGGAGGAAACTCACCGCAGCCGCCTGGGGCTCATTGAACTCACCCACCTCGTGCTCTCCCGTTCCAAGTAGCCCTGCTCCCTGCCCTCTGCCCTCTGCCGCCTCCCTCTAAAGCTCGCGCCACTAGGGTTTGAGTTGCCAGTTTCCGGCCTCTGGCGGCACACGTATCGCAACAGCAAGCAATCATTCAGCATTGTACCCCCTCAGGGGTTGTAACCTGATCCATGTCCATGTGCGATTCTCGTCTCACTGGAGTTAGCGGCACCAGTTTTGATGGTGGGGGACTTGGGTTGATGGGATTTGAGACATGTGATGTGAGACAATGCAAGCTCGAGTGGGATTGTATGATGTGGGCAATATTTATAATAAGGAGGAAACACATTATTCCATTGCACGGCATAAAGACAAACACAAAAAGGAAACCATTATAGTTAAGACATGTTTCTAAGGAGAAAAGAACGGTATACAAGTAAAAAGCCATGGTGATGCGGCTGCTGCTGTTGTCAATGCTGACACTACCACATGAAAGTGCACATGGCAAGCCATAGCACAGTGCACATGTAGCAGTGGCAGCATGGGACCGCAACAGCAGCAGAAGCAGCAACAGGCAAGCTAAATCCTAGCGTACAAGTCCCCACCACATTTTCTTCCGATCCTCGAGGCTGATCACGCCTTGCCTCATCCATGCGTACTCCCGCCCTGCCTTCCAAGCCCATTTCCCACCTTCCAGCAGTCTGTGTGTTGTTCCTCCATCAGCAGGCTCAACTCTGTCTTCACTGAGATAGTGAAAACGCTAACCAAGATGTTCAGCTGCAGTGCCACCAGCACAGCCTATCCAGTGATTCCGTGGCTTGCAACGCAGAATACCTCCTTTCCCTTCCCCCCAATCGCATGCATGCACCTGTGTGTTAGGCATGGCGCTCCAGGGAAACTGCACTTGCAGCTAACGAATTTCTCTCAGACGCCGCGGCTTCAAGTTCCCCACCTCTCCCTTCTTCCATCCCCAATCACTCCAGCCTTCCCCCTCGCCTAGGGTCCAGACATCCCCCCTTAACACACAGTGCACAGCTGCAACCCTTGCTGCGACTAGCAGCTTCTCCCTATTGCTGCTTCAGGCTTCTGAGTCTGACCAATAGGAGGAACGTGATAAAGCGAATCAGCAGCCCGAACCCTAACAGCACCAGCAGGTTCAGCCACATATTGAGATCGGGCTGCCCCACCAATGTCGTCATCAGCTGCTGCCCGTTCTGTAGGCAAGTCCCTGCCGAGATGTTGCTGTAGGGCGTACCCGCCAAAAGCGACCTCATTCCCAGAAAAGCTTTGTTCATCGTTGTCTCGTTAACATATGGCTGCAGCGGAGTGTTATCGAACATGCTCCCGGCGGCTATGTAGCAGGGTCCCCCGTGGGTGAATTGGCTCTGAATAAGCGCCTCGTACGCGTATTTCATGGGCGAAAGGTAGTGTAGCCAGATCCAGTAGTTGGGGATGCTGTACTTGGGAATGTAGAAGCCGCTAACGAGGGCGAAGTAGGCCATGAGCGCGATTCCAGCGGCGTAGGCGAGCACAACGCTGTTTAGGGGAGGGACGAGGGAGACGACGAGAGCAGAGCAACGGTTAGGAAGTGTCAAGGGGAGGAGTTACGAAAATGGCGGCGATATTAGAAAATAGAATATTGTAGATGTAGATAGCAGATGATGGGAAACGATGGCGGAAAGAAAGGAGGAAATGGATAAGGAGAAGGGAGAAGCGAACGTACTGGTCCACGACGACGCTGATGGCGATGGCGAATGAGCTGGCCGAGAAGAGGATAAGGAAGCACGTCAGCAGCATAAAGAAGAACCCCGCCGCGCCGCCAGTGAGATTAATCGCCCACCAGTTCTCGAGCACGAAGATGGAAGCCATGGCGAGCTGCAGCGGGAGGTAGACGAGCGTCGTCGCGACGAGGTAGGTGGAGGGGCGGTACGCGTTGCGCGTGGTTTCGCGGATGAAGATGTTTCGCTCCTCGATGAAGATGGGCACGGCGTCCAGGCAGCAGAAGAAGAGCACGCAGATGGAGAAGGAGAAGAATGCGAGCCGCTCCTGGAAGCCCGACAAGCTGAGGATGGGGAAACGGGGACAGAAGAACGATTAGGGTGCATAGACGATGGGAGCGGAGAAATTCGTGTTTAGCAAAAAAAAACCGGGGGAAAAAACATGAAAAAAAAAGTCTCTTTTAGCGAGGCTTCGAAAAGACGGCTGAAGCAGTTCGCCGAAAATAGCTCAGCGGACAAGCGAGTCCGCCCGGGGGAGCTCGCTGCCCGCGGGCAAAAAAAATAAACCCCAGACGGGCATGCATCCGGTCAGGGAGCCTCAACCCTAAACGCGGGGAGGCATGGTGTTTAGGGTTGAGGCTCCCTCGGATGGCATGCCATCCGATGGGGGTTTAGTTTTTTTGCTGCCCGGGGCAGCAGGTCGACAGGTCGACACAGGTCGACAGGCTTGTCGACCTGATTCCGCTGAGCTCTTCCGGGCACACTCATGCAAACCGTCGGCTTACCTCTCGTCTGGGTTGAAGTAGAGCGTCGCGAGCATAACGCCCGTCACGGCCACCAGCGCGAGGCGCAGGAGGTAGAGAGCCGGCGTGCGCCATAGATTCAGGGCCGCTCGTTTCGTCAAAACCATTAGTTCGCCCATCCACCCGTTGGCGTACCGCCGAGTGTCCGCCACCGCGCCCTTGTCCTCCGCTTTCTCCCCGACCATGGACTTCTGCGCGGTGATGGCGGCGGCGGATGCGGCGGCAACTACGGCGGCATCGACGGCGGGATTTTCGCAGCCGTCGATCTGAACGGCGACAGCGCCATCGGCGGCATCAGCGCGGCAGGAGGTCGACTCCGAAGTGCATTGAGGGGCAGTAAGAGCGGCGGCGTTCTCTGCGACGCTCGTTTTCGTGAGCGAAGACTGAAGGGAATCCTGCGACATGTGCGACAACTGCTGGTACGACGCGGCGTATGCGACAAGATCCGCAACCCCTCGCTCCGACTGATAATCCTCGATGAGATCTAGGGCGAACTCGGTGCTATTAGCGAACTGCGGCACGGGACAGCCGAACGACGCGAGGAACGTGGGAAGCTCGGGAGGTGGCCCGTGGAAAATAGTATGCCCCGACGCGAGGAGCAGCAGACGGTCGATTAAAGACAGCACGCGGAAACTGGGCTGATGCAGGACCATAATGGCGATGCTGCCGGTCTGCACGGCGATGTCTTTAATCGCCCGCACGACGCGGTACGCGCTGGTGGAGTCTAGACCGGACGTGGGCTCGTCGAGGAAGAGGATCCGCGGATCGCTCACCATCTCCACCCCGATCGCCACGCGCTTGCGCTCCCCGCCGGACACGCCGCTGCGGGGGAGAAAGCCAAGGGGGAGATGCGAGAAGGAAAAGCGATGAGGGAGAAGGCAATGAGGAGAACGCGAATAGCGGTGGTGCGCGGGATGAACAAGTTATAGGACAATGGCGAAATAAGAGTTACCAGAATACATCGAAAGACACCAAGATGCACCGATGCGGGGGAATGAGAAACTTTTCTTCCCGTCTTACCGTTGGCTTTCGTTTCCGATGAGCGAGTCGGCCACTTTGGTGAGACCCAGCAGCTCCAATAGGCTCTCCACCTTCCGCTCCTTCTCCTCCTTCGTCACTCCGTTCGCCGCAAGGCGCAGCTCCGCTGCGAACATGAGCGTCTCGCGCACCGTCAGCGCGGGGAACATGAGGTCGTCTTGCATCACGTACGCCGACATGCGCCGCATTGTACTCCCGCGAACCACTGCACCGTCCAGCTCAACCGAGCCTGACCGCCGCTCCTTCGCAATGCGGTGCGCGAGGATGTTCAGGAGCGTCGTCTTGCCCGAGCCGCTCGCGCCCATGATGGCCGTGACCTCCCCGGATCTCGCGGCGCCGTTGATATCGGCGAGAATCGTACGGGTGTAATGCTTCTTCATCGCCAGCTGTCGAGATACAGAGCTCATCTTGCTGCTCGCTCGGCTAATGCTACTCCCGTTGCTCTCGCACCTCCCGCCGCTTCCGCTTTGGGAAACGCTGCGGTTGCTGGCGGCAACACTCCCGCCAGCGCCGGCGTCGCTCCCGCGCTTGCTGCGCGTGGAGACGGTGTAAGACACGTGGCGGAAGCTGAGCTCCATGGTCCTGGCGTAGAGTAGTTTCTTGAGCGTCCCGTCTTCGGATTCGTTTAACGAGCCGCAGTCAATCTCCACTTGATCGGATTCTGATTCGGTTGATGACGAGCAGGACGACGATGAGGAAGAGCCCGAGGCCGACACGCGATCCGGCGAGGAGTCTTCGGAGTAACTCATTTGGTATGGGATGCTGACGGCAGTGTCAGCGGCGGGAGAAGGGGGGTCGTTGATGGGAGAATTGGGGAGGAGAGGGGCGGAATGCGGAGGAGGCGCAGCTGGCGGAGAAGCGCTTTGCGTGTCCATTGTGCGTGACTAGGGGAATGACGTGTTTGGTCAACTACTAGCGGGTCCGTAAGTTGGCGGTATGATGCGGATACTATGTTAATGCGATGATAGAAGGTCTGAGAGGCGAGACGCCAAGAGGGAATGACCCGTGGTTGTGGATCGTTCGAGTTCCTCGACACAAAGTGCGAATGCAACAATAAGAAAGAAGAAACACCGACAGCTCTCACAACAATGCGGCCGTCTCAAGCCTCCAGCCACCTTCCAAGCAGTCTCTCTTCCAAAGTAGGTGCTTCGGGGATGGTTGAACCGAAGCAGCTGCTGTGCTGGCAAATGTGGAGGTGATGCACCTGCGATTTTCGCTTGAATTGGCAGGAAAACGTCCAGCTCCACAGTCCAAGTTATACTAGAATGGTGTGCATCGTGCTGAGCTTGTAGTCCCGAAGTCCGCAATTTTCCATTCGTGTGTGACAAGGGGAAGGATGGAGGGAGGGAGGGAGGCAAGGGGGAATGGGGGAGTGAGGAGGAAGAAAGAGGGAGGAGGTTGTTGAAATTTGCCTTGCTGGATGCGTGTTGTCGCCAATATCTTTCCCAAGCCTGTTGTAACTGTACAGTACATATGTACACATGTGTATCTTACCCGTCACTCCGAACCTCCCTCCAAGACCCCAGGATATTCCAACAAAAAGTGACTCACTCCTCCCTACATTATCACCCCTAATGTCTACAGAGCCTCGCCCCTAGCCCGCAAACCACAACGAGGCGCGGCGCAGGCGGTGGTCCTTGACCTTCATGCCACCGTTCGCTGCAGCGAGTGTAGTGGCGCACGTAGAACGGCATGGGTGGGTGCTTCGAAAAGGGAGCCAGTCGACGAATCACTTTGATCTACTGTACAAGGTTGGACGGATCGGTGGAGAAGGGGAGGGGATGGTTGTTGGATGAGTCTGATACCTTTCTGCGGGATGGGTGGAGCTGGATTTCGTGGATACGATATTGCAGCCAGGAAAACGCGGTGGAACCAGGCCTGTCGAAGTCCCTGGGACCAAAACTTTGAGTCCTGAGCTGCCTGAATTCTGGCCCTGATTTTCACGGGCGCAGGCGAAAATCAACACTTGAAATCCGGGCTTCTTAGGAAAGTGTACTCATCCCTAACGCAACAACGAACAAATGTTTGCCAACTACTTCGCAGCGAAAAGGAGCATACTTACTACTTTTCCACACCTTAGAAGCAGTAACTCATCAGAGAAAACAGAGTAAAAACATAGGCAGAAACATCGGGGGAAGGAGGTATTTTGGTTGGGGAGGGGGGGGGGTGTCCTTTGAAACACTGAAGTCCAACAAAGCGTACACAAGTTGAATTGGGCAGAATACACCACCACCAAGAACCAAAAAACAAGATATGTACAGCTGTATGGTCTTGAACCACCACCATCAGTCGCTGGTTTTACGGGATCGCCTCCACAAATCGACATGGCTATGCCGATTCCGCCAATCACATTTGTGGGCCTCGGGTGTCGTGCCCGACCGAAATGACAGGTTCGCCTGCCTAGTGGTTGGCATCGCACCAACATGACCAAACAGTATATTTTGACATGTTGAAGCAAGGAATTTCAAACACCGCACGGTGATATGGTCCATCTACAGTGAATTTCTCTAGCAACTGATTGAAAGGTGTAATGAATAAATGCAAGCATAGAACACAAGTGCTCTCATAACGATCAATGAAAGGTGTACACAACATACACAAACAGGGGACACACCATTGAGGCATCACAAAAAGCACCCAGCTCTTAAGTCAAGCTAGAAGCTTTTAGGGAGGCCTCCTGGTGGTCTTCAGAACAATAGAAGCATAACCAACGCCTAAGAATTGTTCCATGTCTACACCCCAATCAGTGCTACTTATTCCCCACAATCATTCACCAGCCATCTACCACTTGACCTCCACAGAAAAACCACACTTCTTGCACCTGCACATTCTCCCCAATAGAAAACTGCCAACATCACCATCACCAAGTGTGATGAACACCAGTCACGACTGTATCACTCCTCTGTTTCTTTTGATCTGACCTCAGAACCCCGCTTCAAAGCATCTCAGGATGTACCCAGCTTGCTCACTGACCACCACTCGAACGCCTCCCCAAACCCTAAGCCTGAGTGATTAGGGTTAATCCCACGAAAATGCCAGACACTGCCACTTTAAACAGGATGCACTTCCAACATCTCCTTTCAAAGTCACTTAATACCTTTCTCTCACTCATCCTCTCTTGGTGCGAGACAGCCTCACCAGAAGCAACCAGTGCAGCAGCCGCAGCACACACCCCATCCCCACCAGCACCGCCACACACTCCCACTTGCTCATCTGCGTCAGCCCCAGCGAATACACCAGCAGCTGCGGCCCTGTCTGTAAGCACGTCCCCACCGACAGATGCACATACGGCGACCGGGCCAGCGCGGGACGAAGCATGGCCAGAGACTGATTCACCTGAGCAGGCGAGAGGAGCACGGAGAGAGGCGTGGCGGCGAAGAGATCCCCCGCGGGCTGGTAGCAGGTGGAGGGGCCGGCTGCGGAGAACTCGTTGAGCGTGACTGCCTCGTAGGCGTACTTGACTGGTGAGAGGTAGTGCAGCCAGATCCAGAACGGTGGGATGCTCTGCCGCTGGATGTAGAAGCCACAGACGAGGGCGAAGTTGGCCATTGTGGAGATGACTATGGCGTAGGCGAGGACGACACTGGAAGAGGGGGAGGGGAGGGGGAGGGGAGGGGAGGGAGAGAGGAAAGGAGAGGGTCATTGAGTGAGCTTGGATGAGAGCGAAGTTGGCCATTGTGCAGCTGACTATGGCACAGGCGAGGATGACACTGTGGGGGGGGGGGGGGGGGAGGAAGATGGGAGAACAAGGGGGGGGGAGGGAAGGAATGGGGGGAACGAGGGGAGGGAGAAGAGAAAGGAGGGGGTCATTTAGTTCGCTTGAACGGGTGCAGAACTGGCCATGGTAGAGATTTCTAACGCGTAGGCGAGGGTGACATCATGAGACTGCGAGGAGGAGAAATGGAGTGCAGGAAAAGTGGGGATGGGAACGAGTGAGAAGAAAACAGGGGATTGGTAAGTTTGCTAAGACAAGGGCGAATTGCCAACGATGGTGGGGAGGGATGGCTACGGCGTAGGAGGGATGGCTATGGTGTAGGAGAGGATAACATTGTTTGAAGGTGGGAGGTGGATGGAGAGGGTGACAGCATGGGAGGTGGATGGAGAGGGTGACAGCATGGGAGGTGGCTTCTGTGATGGAATGGAGCAAAGTTGCTCAAGGAGGGAACGACCATAATGGATGAATGCGTTTAGATCCGTTCACTTGCTCACGATTCTTCTGGCAGCGCTGACGCTGCTAGGTGGCTTGCACGCATTTGTTCACTGTGGCCATCAGTGGGGCATGACGGGTGGACGGTTGGGACAACCGGCACTCACTGGCTTTATCAGACTCTGTTGCTCACAGCAGCACTGAGAAAGGTGGCATTAGAAGCAGACGACGCACCCCGAACGCATAGGGAGACACGCATGCTTTACAACACTTAGCAGTGCTTCGCAGCACTCACTCGTTGACAGCCGTAAGCATTCCCCGTGAAAAGGCAGCAGAAGCAAGAAGAGCACCACGATTGAAAGAGGAGAGCACCACACAGACATTGCTCTCATAACACTTTGCAACAGTTTGCAACACTCACTTGTTCACAGCAGCACTGACGAACGTGGCATAGGCATTCCCCGTGAAAAGGCAGCAGAAGCAAGAAGAGCACCACGATTGAAAGAGGAGAGCACCACACAGACATTGCTCTCATAACACTTTGCAACAGTTTGCAACACTCACTTGTTCACAGCAGCACTGACGAACGTGGCATAGGCATTCCCCATGAAGAGGCAGCAGAAGCAGACGAGCACCACGAATGCAAGAGGAGAGCACCACACAGACATTGCTCTTGTAACACTTCGCAACAGTTTGCGGCACTCACTTGTTCACAGCAGCACTGACGAACGTGGCATAGGCATTCCCTGTGAAGAGGCAGCAGAAGCAGACAAGCACCACGAAGCCAAACGAGGTTCCCCCGCCAGACAGGTTGACACACCACCAGGACTCGGCAGTGATAGCGATCGCCATGAGCACGTGCAGAGGCAGGTACACGAGCGTCGATGCCACCATGTATGTGGATGGCCGGTACGCGTGCTGCGACGTCTCCCGGATGAAGATGTTGCGCTCCTGAGAGGAGGAGGTGGGCATTGGAGAAAACGAGAAGGAAACTGTGAATGTCGGCGTGAATGTTCGCACGTTGTTCCAAGGGTGGGAAGGGGTGGAAAAACGGTTTCAGCTGCGATGTTTCTGTGATGAAAAAGTGCGCTCCAGGCAGCAAGGAGGCTGAAGGTGGCTGAAGAGTGGGGGATGCGGGAATGGGTTGGAATGGAAATGCTTGTGCGATTATCTGCACGAAAGACGACAGGACTGTTGGCATGTGCACTGCCCCTACCATCGTCTGAGTGACAGGGTGTCAAATCGGGTGTCAAATCGGGTGGCATATCGGGTGGCATGTCGGGTGGCATATCGGATGGCATATCGGGTGGCATATCGGGTGTCATATCGGGCGAGTGACAGAGTGGCATATTCGGCGAGTAACAGGGGTGGCACATGGGGTCAGGTGGCAGTGCGGTATATTCTCTCACGTGGAAGAGAAACAGGGATGTGTAGGTTAATACCTGGTACAGGGGGGCGTAATGCGATTGCACATGGTCCATTAAGGCGCATTGTGATTGCACCTCGTACAGAGGGGCTGAGACGGAGCGTATTTGCTCACCTGGATGAAGAGCGGCGTAACATCATCAGCGGACGAGAAGAATAGCGTGCATACGAGGAACGAGACGACGTCTGAGCTGACTCAGAAGGGGCTGAGACGGAGCGTATCTGCTCACCTGGATGAAGAGTGGCGTAGCATCAGCGGACGAGAAAAATAGCGTGCACACGAGGAACGAGATGAACGCAAGCCGCTCGTGCAGCCCTTCCGCGCTGGAATTTGGCAAATTGGGGGGAGGGGGGGGTGGGGGGGGGGGGGGGGGGGGGGGGGGGTTGGGGTTGGGGTTGGGGGTGGAGAGGGGGAGAGAATGTTGGGGTTGGGCTTTGAGTCGACTCAAAAGTCAGCTCGAGATGCACGCCAGCCGCTCTTGCAGCCCCTCCGCGCTGGAATTTGGGAGATGGGAGCGCGGAGAGGGTTGGGGAAGGGGGAGGGGGTGGGAAAGAGGGAGGGGAAGGGGATGGGGAGTGCGGAGAGGCAGGGGAAGGGAAGGAAAAGGGAGAGAGCAGGTGGGACGAGGGAAAGCTGATGACGACTAACTGCTACTCTTTTAACCAACTGATAACTGATGAACAGAGAGCATGATCAGACTCACTTGCAGGCCACACGCTACTGGCTTCGTAGCACGTGAAACTCACTTGAAGGGCGGGCGCCAGAAGAGCGACGCGATGAGCAGCCCTGTGACCATGATCAGCAGCAGGCGCAGCAGGTACAGCGCGGGGGTGCGCGCGATGACGCGCACGGACCGGCTCATCAGCACGCGCAGCTCCCGCCACCACCCGTTCGCGTACTTGCGCTCGCCGCGGAGCTCCGGCGCCTGCGCGCCCGCGCCCGCGCCCGCGCAATTGCGCTCTCCGAAATGCTGTAGCTGCGCCGCACCCGCGCTTTGGCGCTCCCCCTGGAACCCCATCAGCGCGCTGGCACCTCCGCCGCTGCCGCTGTTCGCTTCCGCCACTCGAGCATCCGGCGAAGCACCTGAAGTAACACCTGATGAGGCGCCTGTAGGGATAGTGACCGTTTCATTCCCGTTCGCCGCGGCCGCTGCAGCCGCCGCCGCGGCCGCTGTTCTCGCCGCTACAGCCGCGGCAGTCGCGGCCGCCATTGCAGCCTGATCCGGGCTGAAGCAAGAGGAGGGGCTACTCGGCGGGATGGAGAAACTCTCGCCGCCCTCGCTACTGCCGCGGGACGACTCGCCAACACCACCAACACCGCTGGAGCCCCCTTGTGACCAGACGGTATAGAAGTCGGCCAGCCGTTGGATTCCGTCTCTCTTGTCCGTCAGCTTTTCCATCTTCGTCTCGGCCTCCGTCTCCGTCTCCCCGTCGAAGCAAACGCCGGACGGTTGCCTGGCCAGATCTTCAGATGCATCTGTCTTATTCGCTGCAGCTTCCCCCGCCACGTGGCACTTTATAATCTCTGTACCATCTAAGTCATATTCCTCCCCGTCATCATCCTCGCCTTCCACTTCTTCGCCGCGCTTCGCGCCTCCCTCCGCCTCGTGCCCCAGCCGTTGGATCACATCCAAAGCGAATTCCGTCGGGTTTGCGAACGGCGGCGGCGGGCAGCCGAACGCAGAGAGGAACTCGGGCAGCTGCGCGGGCGGCCCAAAAAACAACATCCGTCCCGCGCCGAGCAGCAGCAGCCGATCCAAAAGACCCAGAAGACGGAAGCTCGGCTGGTGCAAAACCATCACCACGATACTCCACGTCCGCACCGCGATTCTCTTAATCACCTTCACGACTCGGAACGCGCTAGTAGAGTCCAGCCCCGACGTGGGCTCATCCAGAAACAAAATCTTCGGATCACCGATCATTTCCACGCCAATCGCGACGCGCTTCCTCTCGCCGCCGGAAATGCCGCGGTGGTTTTCGTCGCCGACTTTGGAGTTTTCCACCTTGGTGAGGCCCAGGAGGCGGATGAGGCGGCGAACCTTCTCCGCCTTCTCCGCGCGGCTAACGGTCGGCGGAAGCCGCAACTCCGCGGCGTACATGAGCGTCTCGCGCACCGTCAGCGCGGGAAACATCAGGTCGTCTTGCATCACGTATGCGGACAGCCGTCGGATCGTGTCGCCTTTCACCGGAGCGCCGTTCAAGGAGATCTCCCCAGTGAGGTTGCGCGAAGAGATGCGGTCCGAGAGAACGTCGAGGAGCGTGGTTTTCCCCGAGCCGCTCGCTCCCATTATCGCAGTAACTTCGCCAGCCTTCGCGAACGCGGAGACGTCGCACAGAAGCTGCTTCGTTACGCGCTGCGACTTCGGCTGCAGGAGTTTCTTGCGTTGAACCGTATAGGAGACACCGCGGAAGGCAAGCGAGGATATCGACTGCGCGGAGCTGACAAGCGGCGGGACGAATGGCGGACTCCCTTCTTCCGGAGCGACGTCGACGGTGCAAGTGCATTGCCGCAGAGCTGCACTTAGTGAGAAGAAGGGGTCACTGGCTTCTGCTGGTGTCATTTTCCTGGCTAGACGTGACAAGGAACTATGATATTTGCAGGTGCACAATCGAGCGGCTAATGCTGTCTGTGAGTCTTTGAGGAGGAGAAATGTGAGGAACGACAGTGAAAAATGTGAAATACACGCTCGCGTGTCCAAGTCACGCTTAGAGCATCAGTAATAGTGAAGGAGGTGGAAGGCAACGACATCAGAGACTACAATTACGGACTGTGTCGACACCGACCTCGGCATTTGCTAACTCTGGCCTAGGGATTCGCTAACTTCCTTGCATTTCCCTCGACATTGACTAAACTGGAAACATCAAGGCTGGTGCAGCACCAACTATCTATTCCCAAGCGTGCGGCGTACTGTCGCTGTCGCGGAGCTGCCGCATAGAGTGGATGTCCTTTCCGCGGTGGCGCGTGGTGGCGGAGATAGGGGCGGGTGAAATGAAACGATTTGGGAAAGTGGGAAAGTGGGGCGCGTGAAATGGTGGAGAGGGGACCTAGGGAAAGGATAGTGACCGAGGGGGGAGACAAGCGGGGGAAAGGGGGGAACTGGGAAAGTGGGAAAGTGGGGAGCTTCAGTCTGTAGATTTCTGTTTTGCAGCGCGGCGGTGCTCGGCAGGGAGGTTTGTGTCGGAGCAGAAGCACCAAAATGTCGGAAGCATGCTGATCGGACGGCTTGAAGAGGGTGTGAATGAAGCCTCTACGCGAAGAGCGGTCCACGTGTACACATGTATCCTGGGAGTGTCGTGCGTGCTGTGGGCACAGACGGGGTGCTTGACACGCGCCGTGATTTTTTTTTGGTGTGGGAGAGAACGAAGATGTCACCAGCTGCCCCCAGCTTTCGGGTGTACAACAGCACACGTCAGAAGTCTGCACCAGAACGTCGATTCGGGTCGGGGCAGCTGTCTCCATGCTGGGGGAGGGGCACTTCTGCCCCACAAATTTATTGATTTGGTGGTGTTGGCGGGAAGGGATTGGTGAAAAACATCTTGGCTGGAATGACGGACGGGTCTGTTGGAGCCTAGAGCGTGTCGATCAGCGTTGGAGGAACTCTTATTGGTCCGAACTATTTTTCACTGTAGTTTCACGTGCGTCTCCAAATTACTCGAATGGATCCATAGCTCCAGAAAGTCTCGGTGAGGTTTGGCTGGTCAGTACCAACATGTACACGTCATTTTCTCCATGATGGCGCTGCCCACGTCAGGCCGAATCGCGTCTGTCATTGGATGCGGTAGCGCACGCTGGCATCAAGTTGGGAAAATCCTCCCTAAAAGCAAACACCAGTCCAATACTAATATTCACAGTGTGTTTGTAGTGTTCGGTGGGAACGCAATATTTTACATTACACATATGCCGATCACCAGATCAACATTGATGCATCTGTCAGTCACTTCCAAAGATCTGCTGGGAGCAATTTGGCCAGCTCGGTATGGTCAGTGCTTTGGGAAATTGTTTCGGGGCGGAACTGATCGCTGCTTGATGGCCATGCTGGTGGTGCTCTGATTGGGACCGCTGATAATTCGACGGCAATGAACGGGAGATTATAGGGTGGTGTCGGTTTCTCCGTCACCTGTCACCTGTCAGCATGCACTTCAATCAACATGCACCCCTGCTGGTCGAATCACCAGTCCTTGAATGTCACAGCAGAAAGCGACGTCTCTCCTTGCCTGTCATGCCGAGTTTTGAACGATTACACCTAGGGGGTTCCCCCTCTACCGGCCTGAAAAAATCACACACTGGAGCATCCCGTCTCCCTGCATGTCATGTCCCGTCTCCCTGTATAGTGTACTCTCGGTGCGCTTCGCGGAGAGTACTGTACCAGCGTCGCGATCATCACAAGGTTCCAGAATCACCCAATTGGTGAAATCTGACCGTTCGTTATTGCTCTTGAAAGTGACGTGCGGTGCAGATGATGCCATCCGTACCTCGAAATGACCAGTGAGGTTGGAATCGCCGCCTCTTTGGATCAACTTCCTCTAGCGTGCCCCACCCACATGGCGATTTTCGCCAATCGCTTTCGCCAAGTGCAATTGCACGGAATTATCGAGCCGCGTCGCTCTGCATGGAAGAGAGGCGATACGCGAGACGGAGCGATGCGTCCACCGGAGCATACAAGAGGCGATATAATTGGAGAGAGGACCAATCCATTTGTCGCATGCATTGACTGCTTCCGTGAATTCAGCCGCAGAAAGGAGAGTTTCGTTCGCATTCCTTTTCCCATTGAACCGCTCAAAATTCTGCGTGCTACTTGCTGCTGCGCTTGTCCACTGAAAGAAGCCCGGCCATCTTCGTCCGTCGCTCTCCGCCGCTGCTAGCCTCGATTCCCTCGACCGAAACGCCCAGATCACCACCCTCCACCCACCACTTCCCACCACACTCCACCCCCCACCCAAGAGTATCCACCTCTTGCCAGTAGTACTTGTGCCGCTAGCCCGAGCACACATGGCTCCTAACGTCGCTTCTGCAAGCAGTTTTCCCTCCGGCGCCGTTTCCGCCGCCAGTGTCGCTCCTTCCATGCCCTCCGCCAAGGCCGCGGCTTCACCGTCTGTAGAGATGCGTGCGGCGCACGCTAGCCGGCTCAAGCTGGCCCCCGGCCCTGCTGACGTGGCGGGCCACCCGCGCAAGTGGTCCCCACCGCCGCCGCAGGACGGCATCCCATTGGACGAGCGCCCCGAGTGGCTGCGCGACGAGGCGCTGCCGTTTCTGGAGCTGTTCGCGCGCAACGTGAGGAAGTTTCCGAGCAAGGCGGCGGTGACGTGGGTGGAGGAGAAGGGGGTGATCAAGCAGTCGTACACCTACGAGGAGGTACGTGCATGGATGCGAGGCGATTTCTTCATGGACAGACGAGTTTCCATCAAAGGCGATTTTTGTGCATGGGTGTAAGGCGCTGTTAGTTGTTTGCAGCCGTGGTGGTACCTTCCCATGCACCTCACACGGAGCTGTTTCCTCCACCTCGCTCTTCGCTCTTTGTCGTCTCTCTCCCGACCTCACCTCCAGACGCCTCCTTGCTCTTCCCTCCCTCATTCCCCCAGTTGGACGCGCTGTCACGCGCCGTGAGTGCGTCGCTGATGGGCGAGTGGGGGGCAGCGCGGGGCGACCGAGTGGTGCTGCTGTACCCGCCAGGCCTTGACTTCCTCATCGCCTTCATTGCCTGCCTGCGCGCTGGTGGGTGCTCTTGTGCCTGTGCTGCCATAGTTGGTGGGTTCCTGCGCGCTGGTGGGCGAGTGGGGGGCGGTGCGGGGTCTGAGTGGTGCTGCTGTACCCGCCAGGCCTTGACTTCCTCATCGCCTTCACTGCCTGCCTGCGCGCTGGTGGGTGACGTGGCATGTGACACGTGGTATGTGGTTTTGTGACATGTGACACATGGCATGTGTGGCATATGGCGTGTGGCATGTGACACGTGGCATGAGTGGCGTGTGGTGTGCAGCACGCTACCGGGGCAAGGGGCATGGGGCATGGGGCATGGGGCATGGAGCACTGGGCATGGGGAGTATTTCTTCCTCGCTCACCTTCCCTCAACCCCCCCCCCCCCACCTTTCCCCGCTCCCTCTGTTCACCTCTGTTCACCTCTGTTCACCTTTCCCTCTGTGCAGGAGTGATAGCCGTGCCAGTGTACCCGCCCAACCCGCGCGAGCTGAAAAAGGACGTGGAGAAGCTCACTCGCCTCGTCAACGACTGCGGGGCACGCATCGTGCTCTCCACATCTGAGTAAGTGCACCTCGCTGAGAGAGAGAGTCCGTGCCTTGTGCTGGCAGGCAGGCAGTGCCACTGCTGCCCAACACTAGCACGCCAACACACACTAGCACGCCAACACACACTAGCACGCCAACACACACTAGCACGCCAACACACACTAGCACGCCAACACACACTAGCACGCCAACACGCATTTTCCCTGCCATTGCTTCTCCCAAGGCAGTCATAACAGCTCTGATGCCATACTGGGCCTCTCTCTGTCCTCTCTCTGTTCTCCCCTCCCCACCCTACTCCCTTATTCATCCCATCAGGTACCGCTCCAAGATCCGCCTGTCGCTGCTGAAGCTCGTGCGCTGGCCGGGCGAGCACTGGTACAACACTGACGGCATCAAGCTGCTCCCTCGCAGCACGATCGAGAGTGGCAGCAGCAGCAGCAGCAGCAGCGGCAACGAAAACGGCACTGGTGGCAGCAGCAGCAGTGGTGGTGATGAGATAGCGTTTCTGCAGTACACGTCAGGGTCGACTGCAGATCCCAAGGGCGTTATGATCACGCACACCAACATCGCCCACAATGTCATGTTCATCCGCAGGTGCGTGCTGCGCTGCAGGGCATGCAAGAACAATGGGTAGCAGCAATCAGGAATGGTGAGTGTGTAGGGAGTGGCATGTCACGTCATGATCACGCACACCAACATCGCCCACAACGTCTTGTTCATCCTCCGGTGCGTGCTGCACCAGTGGTAGGAGCGAGAGTGGGAGCAGTAGTGAGGGAGTGAGGAATCGTGAGCAATTCGAGAGCATTGACTGAACGACAAGACATAAGCTTGTTTCCCCTTTTGCATACCCCTCCCCCCATTCCCCCTCGCCCCTCGCCTTTCGCCCGTTGCAGGACCCTGCGCATGCATTCTGGCATCCGCTTCTTCAGCTGGCTGCCTCAGGTGAGCCCATGCTGCCTCAGGTGAGCCCATGCTGCCTCGAGTCAGCTTTTAATGGCAGGGCAGCACCTGTCATGACAGGTAGCATTGACCTGTGTATACAGACAGTGCATCGCTTCGCATTCATTGCATTGCATGTACGCGTTCATGCATCACCCATCTTCCTCCTCCCTCCTCCCTCCTCCCTCCTCCCTCCTCCCTCCTCCCTCCTCCCTCCTCTCCCCCTCCCCAACAGTACCACGACCTGGGGCTGATAGTGGCGTATCTGAGCACGCTCACAGCGGGCGGCAGTGGGGTGTACATGTCGCCTATCGACTTCATCCACCGCCCCGCCTCCTGGCTGCAGTGGATGAGCCGCCTCAAGGTGAGGGCCGGGGGATGGTGGCTGCTCCTGCCCCTTTCGTTATTTCTTTCCTTCATCTCGTGCCGTGCTGCAGATGCTTACTCTTTCACAACTAGCAAAACGACTGTTTTGTTCCCCTCCTGTCCATCTCATTTCCCCTAATTCCCTTTCGCTCCCCGCCCCATCCCATCCCCCAACCCCCCCCAGATCACGCACACAGCAGCGCCCAACTTTGCTCTCAACCTCGCCACGCGCAAGTTTGTCCCCTCCAGAGACGCCTCCCTGCCCGCCCCCTTCCTCTCCGCCTCCCTCCCGCCCTCCTCCTTCCCCACCTCTCCCAACCCCTCTTCCTCTCCCTCCGCCGCTCTCAACCCATCTGCGCCTCTTCCCACCGCTCTGGACCTCTCGTCGCTGGAGTGTTTCCTGAACGCTGCGGAGCCGGTGCGGCCTGAGGCGATACAGCGGTGGAATGCGGTGCTGGGGCGGTATGGGTGGGACCCGTGCGGCATGTGCCCGTGCTATGGGCTGGCAGAGCATGTGGTTGGCGTGTCGGGGTGGGGCAGCAAGGTACGTTGAATCTAGACTGTTGAATTTTTTTTGTATATCTGTCAAAGATCAATTCATCTCCTATGACCTGGCACAGCAGCGGTCACCTCACCACTTGCCCCTTGTACAGCCATCAAAGTGCCTTCGAAACCAACTCATGCCTTTACATCCACCCCCGTCCTTCCCCCTCCCCACGTTCCTGACGGCCTTCCCCCACCCACCAGCTGCTGCACCTCCCTGACATCACGCTCCACAGCAGCGGTCACCTCTCCACGTACCCCGTGGACGGGCGCGTGGTCATCGTCAATCCCGAGACGCGGGAGGAGTGTGCTGAGGGCGAGGAGGGCGAGATCTGGGCGCGCAGCTGCCACGTGGCGCGTGGCTACTGGGGCAAGCCGGAACTGTCAGAGGAGGTGGGTTGACTCAAAGGTCACACCTCGTATGCTCCATGCAGTTGCGTATCACATCTGATTTTGGGCACATCAGCCCTCTTTTCCGCATGACAGCTGCATCTCTCATCGACGATCGAATAGTTTGGCACTTTCTTCTTTCCTCCCACTCTAGTTCATCACTCCCCCCTCTTGTCGTTCCCCGACCGGCTTCTCCAGACCTTCCGAGCGCGCATGAAGGAAGGTGCGCCAGGCTCTGACAATGGAGCTTATCTGCGCACAGGGGACCTGGGGCTGGTGGTGGCGCAGCAGCTGTTCATCACAGGGCGCATCAAGGACCTCATTATTATGGGCGGGAAGAACTACTACCCGCAGGTGGGTGGCTGGCAGGGCAGAACATTCCAGTTGCACTTAGCGATATCCCTATTGCAGCATGCCCCTTCGCATTAAGGACCTCATCATCGTGGACGGCAAGAACTACTACCCGCAGGTGGGTGGGTACGGCCGCTGCACCATCTTTGAATTGTACCTCATCGATCGTGCCCCCCCGCACTGCATCAAGGATCTTATCATCATTGGGGGGGGGGGGAGAACTACCACCCGCAAGTGGGCAGAATTGTCATCAGACAGCAATTGTAGCAAAGCCCTGCGAGTGTCAGCTATTGTAGTCAGGAGACTCATCATGTGTGCTTGTTACTTGCTTCTCGAATCCGTCCACCTTTTTTGTCCCATTCCGTTCCCGCTTTTTTAGTAGGAGTCTGTTTCTGACAGCAGGGGTGAAATCTGATTCTTGACTCCCTCTTTCCATTCCCCTTGCCTACCAGGACATTGAGCTCACAGTGGAGTCCGTTGCAGACAGCATTCGCCCCGGCTGCTGCGCCGCCTTCAGCGTGAACAAGACGAGCCACGGGACGGCAGCGGGCGGCAAGAAAGGGACTGCAGACAAGGGAGAGGAGACGGGGGAGAAGGGAGAGGAGGAGGAGGTAGTAGCAGTGGTGGTGGAGGTGAAAGCAGTGGCGCAGGAAGGGTGGTGGCGGGGAGGAGGGGGAGGGGGGTCTGGGGAGGGCGGGCTGACGAAGCAGCAGATGAATGAGCTGGCGGGGGAGATTCGGAGTGCGGTGGTGCGCGCGCATGGTGTCATGCCTGCCATCGTGGCCATCATTCCCCCTCGCACGGTGAGTGCAGTGGCACAGATAAGGGAGGGTTGTGTGCTGTGAGGCTGACGAAGCAGCAGATGAATGAGCTGGCAGGGAAATTCGGTGTGCAGTGGTGCACGCGCATGGAATCATGCCTGCTATCGTGGCTCTCATTCCCCCAAGAACGGTGAATGCAATGGCATGGATTGGGCAGCAGTGGGCATTGCAGGGTATTGTGGAGGGCTGGTGGGGTTATGCCTGATGGGGGCACTGCAGGCATTCAGGGGTGCGAGTGCATGGCGTCATGCCTTGTGGCGCTCATTCCGCGTATTGCTGACAGGTGGGAATGAGGTACATGTGTTCCTTCCTCTTTCCATCTCTCATGCAGCTATCTTGCTCTCTCCTGTGTTCCCCCCCTCGTCAGATCCCCAAGACCACGAGTGGCAAGATTCGGCGCAAGGAGACGAGCCACCGACTCACTACAGGCGTACTCACTGTGCTCAACAGTAACTCGCACATGGAGGGAGGCGCTGGAGAGACCATCGTAAGTTGTAGGAACAAAATTCTAGAGACATTGTGACACCGTTATTGGTTTCAGAAATAGTTTTTGTGACGCATCAACCCTTTCTTAGCACTCCAGCAGATTAGACTCATGTAGTGATGTTGTCGCTCGAGCGTTTTTCTTCTCCCCGTGATCTCAGGAGAGTCTGCATTCGATTCCTGAGCCTTCTGGGGCGAAGGGAGGAGAGGAGGACGTGGTGATTGTAGAGGAGGAAATCTCAGCTGTGGTGCCTCAAAAAAAGGTGGTGGTTGGCCAAGAGGAGAGGGGGAGTGAGGAAATGGAGGGCGCAACCAGCAAGAAGGTGGCGACGGAGGGACTGGTGGAAGGGAAAGGGGTGGCTCAGGAAGCTGTAGTTGGGGCGAGTGTTGCTGCAGCAGCAAGCGCAGGTATAGGAGCTACTGGAGTAGATGCGGGAGCAGGGGTGCGGTCAGAGGGGGAAGATGAAACAGAGGAGGAAGCGGAGGAGGGAGCAGAGGAGAGAGTAGTTGCTGCAGTACCAGCGACAATTGCAGTGGAGGCAGCAGCAGCTGCAGCAGAGGGTGATGTGGCAGGGGCAGCTAAAGAGGAGGATGGACAGGGCAAAGCTTCTGGAGGAAATAGGGCTGTGGAGGCAGAGGAGGGAGCAGAGGAGGGAGCAGAGGAGGACATGGGTGCAGCCAAGTGGGATGGTATGGGTGTGGAGGCGGCTGTGAAGGCCATCATGGGTATCCATGTGAGTGCCACTCTTGCTTCTTTCAATTCAGTTTTTTTCCCCCGTGCTTTTTTTTTTTGCTCGCTTTCTCACCTTGGTGTGCCAGTTTATTGTTTGTAAACACTAACAAGCTCGTATGGTTTAATTCTCTCCATACCATGTCTCCCTCCTGTCTCCTTCCAGGACCTGGAGATTGCCGGTGAGCCACTGCTGATCGACATAGGCCTGACATCCATGAATGGCATGGAGGTGCTCGAGCTGCTTGAGAGGTACTATGGGTCTCAAGACTCAAGCACTCGTTTCCTTTGTGCCTTGTCTCTCCTCCCGTCTAAACTCAGGACCTGGAGATTGCCGGAGAGCCACTGCTGATTGACATAGGCCTGACGTCCATGAACGGCATGGAGGTGCTCGAGCTGCTGGAGAGGCGCTGCGACCGTAGGCTTGTTGTTGATGACATGGAGGTGAGCTGATGGGAGATGATGTGGATGTGAGCTGAGAGTGGTTAGCGCGAAGGTGTGACTCACGATTTTGTGGGGTTCATTTGGTGCTGGTGCACTGTGCATTGGTGGCTCGTTGTCATAATGCTTTGCTTTTTGTTGCCTTTCACACCTTCCCCCAACCCCACCACAGCGACTTACCATTGGGCATTTGCGCCGGCTGGATCAGGGTATCCCTCTCCCTGACACGTTCGAGGTGATGTAATGACGTAATATCTAGACATTTGGACCATGCCTGTGTTAGCATGGTGCTGTAACATTTCCACCTAGCTGTGTTGGTTGTTCCCTCTTGACTTCTTTTTGGTTCGTTTGTTGGTTGTTGAATTTGTCATCTTTTTTTCTTTTTCCTCGCTGCAGAGTGATGATGAGGATGAGGATGAATGAAAGATGGGAACTACTTGTTTATCCTCATATGTGGAACAGTATACGGTTAAATCTGTATATATGCATGTATAAGGCAGTGTCATTAAGATAAATCATACAACATCCACTTCAACGTGAGTGAACCGTTGGATGGAAATGGAGTATAAATGAAGATACACAACGGCTATATCCTACCACACCTGGGCAAACCCAGCACCCTCTACCTGTCGCACAAAACCTTGCAGTCGAAACGGAGCGAAAAGAAACGAAACAGAGCGAAAGGATGCTGTGGGGTGGGGCGAAGAGGCGAAGCGAATCGCCACGAAGAACCGTCCATTCCCTTCGAGTGTACGTTTGTGCGTACTGTATTCACATTCCGCCGCGATTTGCAAATTTGAGTTTCAAACGGACGTCAGCCATGGCGGCGACACTACCTCGCTAGGGCATGAAATTGATCCCAAATTTTGCGGCTCTCCGTGCTTGGCTGAGCCATGCCTAAAGACTCGAATTCCATGCTTAATAATCCCTGACGTCTACTTTTCGCATACTGATTAGAGGTTTTGCACATCCGAGCCCACTCACGGCTCAGAGCTCATTATTCCAAACTTATTTCACCAAGTGCATTTGATTGAGTTGCGCGTCGGCTTGTTATTGTCAAAGTGCGCTTTTAGTGGCGCGTATTCAGGTTCGGTCTCTCCACCCTTACATTAGGATCATCTCCGAAATACCAGACAGATTACTCTACAACGACTTTCGGTGGCCATGGCCGCAGCTATTCCGTCTCAATGTCCATTGGTGCGAAACAGTTAAATCGATTGCTCAGTAGCACTGTACGTCACTCGCATCTTAGAGTAGAACGCCTCAGCTGATCCATCTTAACATTTTTGCCTTCATTGATACGAGGCGCTATTTTCGTTCAGCTCCTGTACCGAGCAAGGCCAGAAGTAGGGTTTGAGAATGGCGTTCCTCACGGTTCAAGAGTCGCTAACTTGGGCGATTCTGTTCTGGATGGTGGCGTTTCTTGTCTCAGCAGCGTTAGTGGGCATCGTCATGTACATGGTGCGTTTGCTTGTGGTCGAATCTGGTTATAGTTACCAGTGTGCAATTCATGCTGATCTTGAATCTTCACAAGAATCATGCGGCAGAGCTGCCAGTAGCGCCCCAGCTCGTTTATGCCCAACAGTTCTGTGCTTATCGGGTACTCATATACAGCCTGGTGCATATAAAATCCATCCCCGTGTTTTCTATTTTGTTTCCTCTTCTTTCCTCTTGTGGCTGGACTTCTTTGTTCCTTCATCTACTCATTCAGCTCATCTGTATATCGGACCTCGAAAACGACTTCATCAACCCACATGACGCCGCCAGAAGAGTCAACGGCTTTGTCTTTCCAGAAATCTCCCTCCATTCCGGCCTGACGGTTGTCTTTGGCCTCACCGGCCACTGGCTCATGTTCCTTATCAACCTCCCTCTCGCCCTCTACCACCTTCACCTGTGAGTGTCACCATGACTTCATGCATAATGCTGCTATTATCAACCCGCAAGTTGAGTTCCTCTTCCCCCCGGAGCATTGCCGTCAACAAAACCTGGCCTCCTATTTTCGCGGTTGTTCACCATACAGATACCTCAGGAAAGAGCACATGGTGGATGTGACGGAAGTTTTCAACCAAATAAGCGTTCAAAGAAGACGACAACTAATTAGATTCGTCATCTACCTGACTTTGATGATCGCCACGATATTCAGGTCAGTCAGAAGAGAGAAAAATGCATATGCCATGATCCTAGCCTGTCCAAAAGCTCCAGACTCCTGCTTTGCCGGCTATAACTTGGCAGTTTTGTTTACTTCTCCACTCCCATTCCCTGCCCTTCTGTCCACCCAACAGGATGGTGGAGCGAGGGGTGACAGCAGTAATGGAGAGCCACGGGGGAGCAATCCATGCCAAAGTTTTAGGAAACGTGGCAGGCCTCTCCAACATGTCTTATATGTAGACCACATACAAGGTGGTGATCTGACATTCACCCACATGACAGGCACTTGGGACGGAGGTTCCTACTTAAGGAGCACTGCCAGAACTTCTCTCCCGCTTCAACTCTGTCCAGTGCTAGGGATTTTAGGTGTAGAATCTTGTGCTAACTTGCTTGGTTAGCAACGTAGAACGCCATGGTAGAAAAAAACCGATGGTATGGCTTGAAAGCAAAAATCGACCAGATACAGCATCAACCGAGGAGCCTTCGGGGTTATTAGCAAAATGCATCACATGTACTGATGGTACAGTGCCAAGTAAAGCAAAACGGACTGGTAGGACAGAATTGAATGGGTAAGAGAGTGTAACATACATGATACAATAATAAGAGCAAATCAGTCAAAACTGGATTGTGGGCCACGTTCTACCCAAAATGAGCAACTCGTCTATATGCACAAGAGCTTGGAAGACAGCTCCACATACGCAGCAGCTCCCCTACTTCATCCTCTCTAGAACCTCTTGCTGAAGCTCCTCAAACCTCCTCTGTCGCAGACTCACAAGCTGCCGCTCTGTAAGCAACTGCAGCAGCATCTAGGTGGCCTGCGCCCCGCCTGGCATCTACGTGGCTAAGTGACATGCTGCTGCTGGCATCACTGGCATGACTCTGGGCTGCTGGATGCGGGTGGAGCTTGAGGTACAGATCAGTGAGCCTCTCCTTGGCCTCGCTGAGGATAAAGACGGCAAATGTCACCCGCTGAGCTCGGGGAATGAGGCCTCTGAACAGGGTCTTGCTGCCTCCTTCTCTCCACATGCGTGCAAATGTGCCACTCATAGACCTGAAAGAAGAGGAGAAGGTTACAAGAAATGAGAAAGCTGCCACCGTTGCTCATTCATAGCCGCTACTCATTCAATTATTGGATCAGACAGACCATGCAAGGGTCTACAATAAGGGCAACGAGCTGAACTTCCCGTACCTGAAATTAGGGTCTGCGAGATTGGCCTGCATGCGCGTCTTGACGGTGTCGAAGGGCTGCGTCAGCACAGCCGCTCCCACTCCCGCCAGCACCGACGCCGTCGCCATTGCCGCGACGGGCCTCTCCGCGAAAACCGGCCACGCCTTCTCCATGTGCTCCGTCATTACAGGGATCACTCCCAGATACGCACCTGTGAAGATCGCTTCTCTCACCACTGCGGGATTCTGCAGGGAAGAATAGGAGGAGGTGATGAAGGGGAGGGGAGGAGGATGGTGAGCAGATCAGCCAGCAGTTTGTGGTGTGCTTGCGACGCGACCATCTAATGAGCCATTTAGCAGTTGGTGGTAACCGTTCTTGCCTTTCGCATCGCCCCAGAACTTCTATCCGAACACTCGTGCAGATTCCGCCCTACCACTTTGAATAAAGCGCTAGCGGCAACAAGGATGTACACAAAGCGACAATGAGGATTGACGTTGAACGGATGGAGGCGCAACCGAGCTTGTATTCCTACGTCTAAAAGGCCATTAGCATCAGCATCCCACACGAACATCCCATGCCCGGAAACAACGTCTAGCGTACCGTTCCTCTAGAGAGGGCGAAGACGCCGTGCTCTCCGACGACATCCCGTAGTCTGGAGCCCAGCGACCCTCCCCACTTCTGCTGCTGGATCATCAGCAGCTCCGCCGGACCCGTTATTATCCCCGACATAGCACCCGCAGCCGTCGCCGCTCCCGTCCGCGTCGTGTCATTTAACTGACCCCGAGCCGCTAGCCACTCTTCTAGAAAGGTGTTGGCGCCGAACTGGAATCCGTTAATCGGCGCAATGGACGCAGCGTTCACGGCCACCCCGCGATAGAGCAATCTGGGGTGCAGCGGGACGGGTCTCATGTCCTGGACAGCGTTTTTCCACGTAACCAGCGGCTGCTGCAGCAGCACCTCTATGACACCTGCTAACCCGCCGATGGCGGTCGATGTGACCGGCGAGATCGCCAGATCCTCTTCCAACCCCATCTGTGCAAATGTTTAATGTGAGTGGTAGTTAAAGATCGGGAGTATGAAGTATCCGAAACGTCGATCTGAACTATGGATCACTGTGCAGAGGATGGACAGGGCGGAAGTGCTGAGGGGATGCAGAAGTTGAGACTGCTGCAGCTGATTCTTATTGAACCTCTTTGGCCAAGCACATAAATAACTATAAGGTCGGTCAGCAGCGGAAGTGCATAGCATACAGTGAGGTCAGCAGAAGATCCATGGAAATGCCTTCTGGGGTGAGACGGGCCGAAACCGAGTGAGCAGAGCGTGACGCAATGGGGGGAATGTGCCCGAGACAAATTTCACAACTCAGCAGCGGAAGGAGTCGCGTGGACTCCAAGATTCAGTGAATCTTGGCTTGGAAAAAGACTTCGGGATAAAAAGGCATTATCCTAAGGGCCACGTGGAAGGAAAAGCGAGGGTGGAAATTTTCTGCGACTGACCTTGTGGGGCTCGAACCAGGCCATTGGGATTTCCCCCAACTAATTGCGCGCTTCTGGAAGGTCACCCAAGCTACTCCCACCACACACTACACTGGTTCGGATGGCTGGCGGGGATTTCAAGCTTCCGCGCGACTCCGTAAAGCTTCCTCCAAGCACGGTTGGCACAAGGCTGCCTTGCTTACGTGCACAGAAGTTTTGGTTGTTGGCGTCATTGACCACTAGGGAAGAGGTGTCTCCACGTGGCGGCAAGCGACTGCTAGATATATTCCCGTGAAAGTGGACGTGCCCCACAACCTCATGAGGCATCTCGCTTGCGGCGTGAGGTGTTGACATGTCGGTTCAGGCGGTTGCTTAGCTTGACCCTCCAACTTTCTGGGAGCCAATATTTATCCATCTGTGGATGTGTTCCACGCTTTGAGATCCTGCGCCTCGAGAAGACATCTCTGCTGGAACGTACGCTTCAGAAGCACACCCAATCTCACTTATATCATCTTGTCAGTGTTCTCCCAAATTCGAGAAAAGGAGGCAATCTTCTGGTTTGTACGTACGCTTCAGAAGCACACCCAATTCAAGTTTATCACCAGTGTTCTCCCAAAGTGCCTTTTCTAAAGTGGCTCTTTGCAACTCCAACAGGACCATCGGTCATTAGAATTCGTTGCCGCCGCTCTGTTGCAACACCTTCCAGGTTCACCTGTTCCACCTGCGCTTTGAGATCGGGCAAGGAGGTTGCAACCACCACTCTTTCTGACGGCAAAGAAGCGTTTTGAGCCGTGGATTTCGTCCGAGCGCGAGGATGGACCCACATCCTGCTCCCATCAGCTTGGCTGACAGCGGGAAGGCGCCGTCAAAAACAGGGCTGTCCTGTCGCTCTCGTTGGGGCTCAGGGGAGGGTGCGTTCCGTGCCGTGACACGATGGAAGCACACGCGTAGCGCGGAGAGGATAATGGAGTGCGTAAACAGATGCTGTGAAACAGATGCTGTGCGTAAACAGCGAGTAGAGTAGTTTCAAATCTAACTAATAGACCGCGAGAGATCATGGGCCTACGGGCTTTGCAGTTTTGTTCGGGCGTCGCCACCTATCTTCGTCATTTTGGTCGCACTCCTCGGAGTGGCGAGTGTTGTCTGCGACGCTGAGAGTCCGCATGCTGAAACATCCGCCCCTGCGACCGCCACAAACAATGTCGCAGAGCAAGCCCATGCGACAGTTGGACGCGGACGAATGCTCACGGGCTCGTCGAAAGAATGGAGTCGCGCGACGAGCGTGGTTCGTCGGCGACGGTTAAAGCCGAGGAGTGAGAGCGAGAACGAGCTGCAAAAGGTGGACTTTGCACGGCAAATGAGATCGAAGAAGAATAAGAACACGCAGGGGCGCGAGGAAGAGGACGACGGGATTACGTTTGCCGGATCCAGCAGTGAGAAGAAGCCGGAGAAAAAGCAGCAGAAGAAGGCGCTGAAGCAGAAAGGGCAGCGGACGGAGGGTGCGGAGTCCGTGGTCGACAGTCCACTGAAGCAGAAGGAAAAGAATGGAAAGAAGGAAAAGAAGGAGGAGGAGAAGAATAAGAGGATTGTGAAGAAAGAGAAGCAGCAGGCGAGGCAAGGGTCAACTGAGGAGGGATTCTCCTCAGCTAAGATCGAGCGGACGAAAGGCAAGAGCCGGCTTGCCGACCGACGCCATGATGTTGATCACGAGAACGAAGATAATGATCACGAGAACGACAATGACGACGATAATGACTGTGAGGGCCCTGGCGACGATGATGAAGGCGACGATGATAATCGTTTTCCCTCTCCCCCACCCCCTCCCACCTCCTCCTCCCCCCGCACCTCCCTCTGCTCCCCCTCCTTCCACCCCGCCTCCTGGCCCTGGAGTCGCGACAAAGTTCAGCTGCCCGCCCACTCCTGAGATGTGCTCTTTTGTTTTCGAGGGGTACGAAACCGAACTCCCTACAATCACACTCCCCGCTCTCAGTACCACGACCGCTGCATCCAAGCAGGCGTTTCGCCCCAAGACAGCGTACGATGCGAACCTGGAGCCCGGTACACTCGTGGCCCTCTTACGCGGGTCAACTCTGGATTTATCTGACACGGTGGCTGACATGTCGCGGATCATGTGTCTGGGCGGGAAGAAGAAGAACGCGACACTCCCAAGGTTTACGTTCAAGCTGACTCCAGACGGCCACCTGAGATATGATGACACGCGAGTGAGCGGTGACATGGCTTGGCTGGCAGCGGCCCAAACAGCGGAAGGCGCGGTGGTGAATGAGGTCAGTCACAGTAGACGCGTTTGGCCTGCCTATGCGTGTCAAGGGAAACAGCCAGCGAGCGAATTTCCACAGCAAGAGAAACTGCGTGCTGTTCAGAGTGAAGTTTGTGGGGGCTGCTATGGCGACGAAGCGGAAATGGCCATGAGGGAGCTCTGGAGCGGGGAGATGCAGGAGGTGCAGATATCTTCTTCTGCTTGTGGATTATGGAGCTACAGGTTGCCTGCAAGGTTGTCATTGGTGTGCTTGCTTGCAGTACGGTACGGTATGAGGCTTGTTCTTTATGAGTTATGGAAATAAGACTGCACGATGTGCAGTTGAAGTGGTCTTGCTGCAAGGATATACATTAGTAAGGACCCTGCCTCAGGCTATAGGCTGTGCAGGCTGTATCATGTATGGCATTCCGTGTAAAGTGAATGTGATTTTTCAAACCATCTTATGTTAGATCATAATCATAGATGTTGCAGCAGCTTTCTAGCAGCAGTATTAGACACTTGGGGCAACTAACCGCCATATGATAATAGCGAAGCATTCCAGAAGCGAGGGGCACATGGGTACAGCCACGTCATTAAAGTGCCTTTTGATATGTCACGTACCACGTGCGACGTTGAGAATGAGAGATGTCGCTGGTTATGAGTGGTTGATTTTTAGATTAGCCAATCCTTAGCGCCACAATATCCACGTTCTGAATATGCGCTTCGGACCACAAGGTGATCAAGCCGCGCGCGACCAAGCACGCTAGGAACCAGACGGTACCAGTACTTCCACCTAGAGGGCCTAGCCGAGTCTGATCTCGACACCAATTTGGCGGGAGCCTGGGTAAGGGACCACAAAGCCATGAAAACCTTGCTTAGTACAAGATTTGGCCTGCCCAGGGGATGGTCCACTAGCCTTCTCACCACTAGGCGTGCAGCGAGACAAGCCCCTTTTGACCTGAAACAAAACCGACAAACCTGTCAGGCATCCGAGCCAGAGACCAGCTTCATTCTCTGCTTCGTCCTATTTCCTCCCGAACCAGGCACCTCCCCAACCCAGCGCGCTTCCAAGCCAACTAACCCTAAACGGGTTGGTGGGGCGGGGGGAAAGGAGGTCCATCCAATTAAGAAAAACGCCCACGTGGCAAAAGGGAAGCAATTTGGGTCGATTCAATTGAGGACAAACGCGATTTCCGCCGATGCGCGCTATTTCGCCAAAAAACCCTAAACCCGAAACCCTAAACCCAAAAGCTGATTTATTCTGAATTTAGTAATAGCTTGAGCATAACAACTAGATACAATATGAATTTTAATATGATATTCAGAAATAAAACGTTTTTTTATAATCTTTGTATGAATAATATAAAGCAGTAAAAACAAACAAAATATCTACCTAGTTCAAAAATAATTAAAATGTAGGGTTTGCCTTGGAGTGAATATTATGATAAATTGGTAACATTTCGCTACAATTAGATGTCGCTTGCAGGTTGAAATTTTAGAGTTACGAAAAAGCATGTATTCGTTACTGTTTGTGATTCCACAAAATTTTAGTGTGTGCCCGAATTTCGGAGGGAAAGGGCGGGAAAAACGGTTTGGGGGGGCGGGGGGAAAGGGGGTCGAATCAATTGGGAAAAACGCCCACGTGGCGAAGTGTGAGCAATTTGGGTCGATTCTTTTGAGACAAACGCGATTTCCGCCGATGCGCGCGATTTCGCCCGGTTTTTTCCAATCGCTGTTGTTGGCCGCAGACTCGTTCGTCATCCATTCACGCTCAGGATATTCTGCCAGGGCAGCAAAAGCCAAACAAATCCACCAATCCACCACACTCGCTCTCCTCTTTCCAATCACTCCTCATTGGGGTCCCCAGCTTTCACATCTCCCTCTGACCTCCGACCCCGTTCCTCCTCGTTGGTGCTCGAGGGAGGTGCACACAAGCAGCAGTAGCGGCTTATTCGAGCCCGCTGCTTAGCACTAATCGTGCCTAGCAGTTATCGTGACCTCGGACTACACAGGTGTTTGAAAATTCCGCGCATATTCCCTAAACACCCCGCAATTGCGTAATCTCGTGCGCATTGTCAGTCATGGCCGCCGACATTGCTGCTAAGCAAGCCTTTCTTCGCGGAACAACTATCCGCCAATTCTCCGCCGGCTCCCCGCACACAACCTTCTCACGCCAGCCATGCGGTCAACGCGGAGCCCCTCAATTATTTCCCCCCACCCCCCCTCTGCGAGCACGACCCTCCCGAACCCTAAGACCCTCAGTCGCTCGATCGCGCCTTTCTCCCAGCGGACCCGCGTTCGGGCCGGCGCGGCAAAAGTCGCTCCTTTCTGTGAGGGCGCCTGGAGGGGAGAACGGAGTAGCGGCTTCAGAACGATGCGGAGGTAGTAATAAGCGCGATCGCCGGAGCCCCGCTCCCGCCGCCGCCGGAAGCGCAATGACGCCGGAGCTCACGCCAGACGGCGCGACAGCGGTTCTCGGCACGGCGGCGTCGCAGGAGAACGCGGAGGAGTGCGCGGCGGTGCTGGCACGGCTGGGCCGGTCCGCGGACAGCCTTCCCCCGGACCTGGCGGACGCGATTGCGCGCGGCCGCGTGCCTGGGGAGGTGGTGGAGCGGTACGCGGAGATGGAGAACACAGTGGTGCTAGGGTATTTGCTGCGGTTCGGCGGGTTTAAGGAGCGGTTGCTGGCAGACGATCTGTTCATGACCAAGGTCGCGATCGAGTGCGGCATTGGCATCTGCACCAAGGTGCGACGGCAAAATGAAGTCGATTAGCTTGAATTGGTTTTTGAGGCGCCTCATTTTTGAGACGATTTTTGAGGCTCCTCAAAAATCGGCATTGGGATCTGCACCAAGGTGCGACGGCAAACTGAAGTCGATTGACTTGAATTGGACAATTTGACGGGTGGGTCACTTCGACATCAACAGATCGAGAGGGACATATAATTTGTTTCGGGACGTCTCCAAACAATTTATTGTTTCCAGACTGGTTCCATCCAAATCTTCCCGTTGCCGCCTTGGTCAGCTATCTGAACTGAACTGTTTGCCTGATTGCCCTTTCCGCTCGTGTTGTCTCGCTCCCCCTTTCCCCCGCCCGCGGCAGACCTCGGCGGAGTTGGAGAGGCGGCGAGCAGCCTTCTTCCCCGAGTTCGACTTCGTCATTGCTGACGTGGTAAGCAGCTGCTGACGTGGCGAGTGATTCTTACGTGATAGTCAACGACTAATGCCCAGTTGCTGCCAAGAGGACGACCATGTCAGCGTTCCGATCAAGCAGTTCCGCCCCTCGTGCCGGTCCTCCCATGATCCTCCTCCCCTTAATTCACTCCCCCTTGGCCCCGTTCCCCCTTTCCATTATTCCCGTCATACAATTTCCCATGTTCCCCTTCCACATCCCCCCCGCCCCCCCTCTCCCTTCCGCCCCCCCCCCCCCCCCCCCACATTGATTAGTTTCTCCATGACCTCTTCCTCCCCTTCTCCCTTGACCACGACCCTCTCTGAAACCACCCACCTCCCACCACCGCACTGAACCACCCACTAAGCCTCTCCACAGTGCGCACACCAGCCTCTCGGTTCACACTCATACCTGACTTCAAGTCAAGCCTGCGTGGCCGACCTTCTCCCCTCCGCCCCACCGCCTACGATTACCACCATCCCACCGTACCCAGTGCTCTCAGGCTAACCACCTCTAGTCATCCTGGCGATCTAAACCCTGCTGCACCACTTCGTGCCCCTCTTTACCGCACTGCACCCGACCGTGTCACCAGATAATGGCGCTGATTGCGGACTTCATGCTCGTGTGGCTGCCCGCGCCCACCATCCCTCTGCACCCCGCGCTAGCCAAGGAAGCCACCGCCCTGCAGAAGTTTCTCGACACCTGCCCGGACAATGCATTCCAGGTGGGAGGCATTTTTTGAAGCTGAATCACGGGGTTATGGCTGATGCCTGGACGGAAACACGGTTTGGGTGAGAGGCGTTTTCAACGCGTAGTGTGGTGCCTGGATAACGCATACCAGTTGGGAAGCATGTGGAAAGCGTAGCGTAGCGTGGGGTTATGGCTGATGCTGGGGAGACACGTCTCATATGAGCGAGAATGGTTGGCGACCTGGGGGTATATGGGTGGGTGGGCCACATTCCTAGCAGGAGCAGATGTTGGGGCCCAACAACTGCTCATGCATTGTTTCCCAAGGAAGGAACATTCGTTGTGTCATTTCTTGCTCAGCTCCCACTGAATGCTTTGACCAGTGAAGGGGCGTCTCACACGTTATTCCTACCCTCCTTGTGTGTGTTGCACTGCCCCAGGTGCCTGTACGTGGCACGGAGTACACTCTCCTGCAGCGATTCACTGCTGTGCTGGTGAGTCTGAGCCTCATCGCTGCTGCCACTGCCGTTGCTATTGCTGCCGCCGCCGCCGCTGCTGCTGCTGCTGCTGCTGCTGCTGCTGCTGCTGCTGCTTCTGCTGCTTCTGCTGTTGCTGTGGTGATCCTGATCCCAATCATTGCTGTTCCACATTACCCTCACGTGCCACACACCCCTTTCCTGCCAGAGACTTCCCTCGTCGCATCCATGCGATATGGCACCCCCTGCCCAGCCGGCTTGCAACCCAGACAATCCTCCCTTGCCTTCTTCAACCCATCTTAACCCACTGACTCCAATAAGCCTCTCTAACCGCAAGTAACCACACCACCCCCAGCTGAACTACCTAATCTCACCATTCCCTCCCTCTGATCGACTGCCCCAAAGTTTCTTCCTCTCCGGTGACAACCGCTCTCAACCACCTTTCACCTTCCCTCTTACCTCCTGCCTCCCCACCCATCTTCCTTGCCCGATCTCAGAGGAATGGAGCGAAGCTCATGGTTGTTGGGACGACTGCATCCCTGGTAAGCTGATGCTTCACTCTCTCGCCCTCCCTGTTCATCCAGTTGTTGACATTTTTTCCCTGACCTCACTTCACCACATATGCCCCACTTTTGAGGAATGTCAAGTGGCTTCACCTTTTAAGAATTCTCAACAGTGGCTTCACCACCATGGGTGCTCTCCATCATTCACTCAACTAACTCCTCCCTCTGCCAATTCCTTTCTCTGCCCCATGTCATTACATCCCATTGCTGACCACGCCCAGTTTGGCTGTGGAATGACCAACGCTCTCCAATGGGTGCGCAGGGTGCTTGCTGCCCCCCCCGCCGCTGCTGCTGCCACAGTCCCCTCCCTAGACCTCACTGCTGCCTCTTTCCCTCTCGACTCTTCGGCTGAACTGGCTGCTACTTTGAACCCTGCTGCTGCCATTGATGCTGCCACGACTGCTGCCTTGGTATTGGACCCGGCGGTCGCTGCTGATGTGGCAGCTGCTGTGTCGGCGTCGGCCGCTGATGTGGCGGCTGCGCTGGCCACGGCTGCTGAGGTGGCAACGTCAGCTGCGGGGACCATGCCACCGGATCTGGAGGTGCCTATCCTCGCTACAAGCTTGGCTTATGGGTCCTATGCAGCGATTTCTGCCAACCTAAGGTGGGTTGTAATGCAGGGAAAGGTTCCGCATCTTCAAGGTTCTGTTGACAAAGGTGGTGTGTTTTCCGTGGGTGTGTGTACCACAATTCTTCACTCTGTTTCATCTCATCTCATCTCAACTTGTGTGCTTTTCTCGTATATTACCTTCTTATATATATCTCTACTGCTTGTGAGTGCAGGTACCAAATATTGGCTGGTGTGATTGAGCAGCAGTGGCTGGAGCCTAGATTCCACGGCAACAAGACTCTCCTTTCAGTGCTCTCCTTCATCTTCCGCACGTCCAACACGTTCATTGGCTCGCTCTTGTAAGTAACATCTTCTCCCAATGCTGGTGTCTTGACAACGTATCTATGCCATGCCTTCCACCACTTATAAAGCGCAGAACCTGAACTACAAAGCTGGGAGGCTAACTGGGAGCTGTATGCCTCCCGCAACTGCTGGGTTTCGAGCTTGGTTGTGGTTTGTTTTCTCACCGAACCTCCTGCTGAGGTTCTTCCAAGCCTAACATCTTTGTGTTGACCTGGTTGAGTAGTACAGGCTGTTGGCGCTAACTGAAGTCTTGATTTTTTTTTTTTTTTGCAGGTGGGTGGACTACGCGAGATGGATCGGAGTTCAGTGATCGTAATGGACAAACTAATTCTTCCATTTTCTTCATAGTCCATATATTGGCATCAGTTAAATCTTATGTGGAACATCAAAATGTTATGTTGGGAATGCAACCGGTCAGCACATATTAATAATTGATGTCCTAGATTAGTTCACCACTTGACATCAGTGTGTGTTCAAATTTCTCGCCAGTAAAATCTTGACACAACGCGTACAAGACCCACAGTGGTCCGTATGACCGCGTCGCTCAGAGTGACGTCCAGATCATTGTTTGAACTACGCTGTCAACCATGGCTGACAGCGAGTCCTTGCCAGGACAGGGGAAGAAAGTCTGTGTCACCGGGGCATCTGGTAATGTCGTCTGTGGCCTAGCTTGTTCACGCTCGAAATTATTTGAATCGATCGTCATGAATCATGACCTTCATGCAACATTGCCCCAGGTTTCATCGGAAGCTACCTCGTCAAGCTTCTGCTGGATCGCGGGTATAATGTTCGCGGAACAGTTAGGGACGCGACCAACGAGGACAAGACGTCATGGATTCGCGATCTCGTAAGTTCGTATATCGAAAGAAAATGCGTAAACGATCCAGCACATGCTTGAGTAACTAATGTGACCATCCTCTCCTTTTCTGACAGGCAGAGGGCACTCCGGGCAAACTTGAGCTCTTTTCAGCCGACCTGGGCAAGCCTGGGAGCTTTGACGAAGCCGTTGAAGGATGCGACTATGTGTGTCATGTCGCCTCTCTTGTTCGGATGAGCGTTCCGAATCCGCAGACTGTTGTGGATGCAGCTTTGGAGGGCACGAGAAATGTGTTCTCTTCCATCATCAAGCACAAAACTGCCAAGTAAGTGAGCTTAGCGTTTTTGCGAACAGCTTTCATTATCCCTTGTTTTCTCTTTTCCGTGTGCAGCATTCCACTCCCCTACCCTCTCACTGCCACACCCTCCTCCCCGCCCCCGCCGCATCTCTCTTACATCCTCATTCTCTTTCTCCCTCTTCTCGTCTCTCCTCTCTCCTTCTCCGTTGTGAGTCTCCTCACAAACCATTTTTTCCTCTTCCTGCCAATTGCTTTTGCCATTGTCACAGAAAGGTGGTGGTCACCTCATCTGTAGCAGCAATTATTGACTACATAAACAAGGACCATGTATTTACTGAAGAAGACTGGAACCGAGACCTAACTCTCAAAGATCCATACCCGATGGGTAAGACTCTCGCAGAGAAATATGCCTGGAAGACCGCAGAAGATCTCAAAGGTCAAGATTGGTCTTTTGAACTGGTCACCATCTGTCCAGCCATGGTTTATGGTAAAGCCATTCGTAAGGCGCATGTTCGAACAAGCCTCGATGTAAGATACTCAGTATTTGCATTATGCTTCAGATTGTTGTCTTTGCGGTGTCTTAATTTCCTTTCCTGCTCATTGAAAAATGCTTCCATGGGCTGTTCAGGTGATAAGGCAACTGATGGATGGATGGCTCTTCATGGCCCCGGACTTGTATTTTGGCATTGTGCATGTTGACGATGTTGTGCTTGCTCATGCACTGGCACTGGAGAAGGATACTGCAAAGGGACGATATATTCTATGTAATGGCGACACTCTCAGCATGCTAGAAATGGCGGGTAGGTTTGTTTACCCCTCTAACCCCGTACCTGTGTGATCCGACCATTTGTCTTGTTGGAATGTTTGATGGATTCTATGCAAGCTAACTGGTGCGTGTGTTGCTGTTGAATGCAGCTGTCATCAAGAAGAACTACCCTAATGCCAAGACTCCAACATACACCATGCCAAATGCATTGGCGTATTTGGTCTCATTGGCCATTCCCGGAGTGAGCTTTGAGGTACTGAGGCGGAATCTGAGCAAAATTCCCAGATTTGATAAAAGCAAGTCGGAAAAGGAGCTGGGACTGCAGTACCGTTCGTCCGAAAATTGCCTTCTGGATACAGCTGCCAGCATCTTGAGCTTGGAAGGAAAATGAGTTTTAGATGCTTGTGCTCACTGCAAATCGCAAGATTCTGTTTGTGCAGACACCTTGAGGATGCTGTCTGTCCTGTCCTCCACATTAGATTCTGTAGCAATTTGACCACTGATTTCTCCTGGAGTTAACAGAGTACACACAACATACCGTAATCACCCGGACAAAACACCCCCCCGTAATAGTACACCCCCGGGTAGCTTGTGCGGGGGGGGTGCTATAGCCGACCTCGTTTGTACTATACCCCCCCTTTTGGGGTGATTCTCTATAACACCCCCCTGTCAGAGTTATATTACTGTAACTGCATGTAGATATAGCAGTAGTGTAGTTATCACATTCTGTTTGGTGGATTACCCCCTTTCCTATCATATTTGTACCCTTGACTCTATAGTGAAGTCCTCTTTCATTGCCAACTCCCTCGACACTCTACCTCCTAGCATGGCTCCTAAGACTAAACCCTAGCAACCTATCTTGACACCCCCTTTTCTTACGAAACCCTATTATAGCTGTTATCGAGTCAGATTTTTTACGGGAGGATATGACGAAAATCGCTCCCTGAATGAAATTTCGCGTGCACTTTGTCAGAATCCCAGCCACTAACCACTGGGATAAACCCCCCAGGTCGTCGTGCCTGTAACCCTTCCCTAGGATCAATCGGGGATCACCAGTGGACCTCTGACACACTTTCACTTCGAATCTACCGAGATTCCCTCCCTTCCACAATCTCGCTGTCGCCACGCTGGCGAATCTTCCGCTGCACGTGGCCCGAGAGGTGAAACTCACATTCTCGCCAAAACTCGAATTCTCGCCTCAACCTGTGATGTTATAACGACTATTGAAACACCCAAAATGTCTAATGAAGTTTTTTTCTTACACTAAAAAGTGCCATATATAACCACCCGGGTATTAGGGTACATTCCTGTGTCGACACATGTGTCTCAAAGCGTTTGTGACGCGAAAAAACGACATAAAACGTACAACGTCTCAAACGCGAGTCGCTTTCTAGCGACCATTACTGTATTTTTTATTGGTCAGCGTGAAACGCGCTGACGTCGCTGACGAATTGGAAACCGATTCGTCATTTTTTAAAAATCGCATGCGCTTCGAAATGTCAATGTACCTGGTCGTCCCGAAATGCCAATTTTGCGCGGGAAAGAATCCCGCGTGTCGAAACCACACCACAGCCGCGCGATTGAAGATTTGGGTGCACAGTAAAATTTTTCACCCAATCAATTGCGCCCAACTGTGCATTTCGCATGGTCGCCTAGTTTCGCGATACATTGATTTTTTGTGACGCGAGATCCCCAAAATGTTTCGACGCGACTCGGGAAAACAGGGATTGAGACATTTGTGTCGACACAGGAATGTACCCTTATATAGGATTTTCCGTTGAGAGGACCCCCCCCCCCCCCCCCCCCCCCCCCCCCCCCCCCCCCCCCCCCCTTTTTTCCCTGTGGTTATCATAATACCCCCGGGTGTTATGTCCGGGTGATTACGGTAATGCAGTTTCAAATTCTACTCTCAACCCATCGTGCAATGCAGATTTGGTTTTTTTTAATGCATAGGAAAACAAGAGGCGACGAAATCGTCTTAGGGTTGCGAAGCGTTTTGCGTTTTTCAAAAATTCATGATCTATGTAGAACTTGAAATTGTATGGAATGCATGAGACAATAATATTGTTTCAAAGATGCAGAGCTTTTGGTTTCGTGAGTTATAGATTCTTTATCCATATTCATTCAATATCATGCTAGATACTTGTATGATAGTTTGTGTTGTGGTAAAAAGGGGAAATCCAACTAAATGTTTATAGTCTTACATGAAGGACAGGAACAGTTCAACCAAAGGAATCAGTGTTCTAAGTGTTCTAGACTTCAGAGAAACAGCAGAAAAAAAAATTCAGCAAGTCAACTATTTACCGTAACGAGTTTAAACTGACGACCATCCACACATTCTCGAAGATGAAATTGACTGCATCAAATCACCTATTGTCGTAAACTAAACTTGCTGACTTTGTACCTGTTACTGCTGTAAGTTAATAAAACATTCCGGCTCCACGACTCGAACTTGGGACCTCTTGACTCCCGGTCGAAATTTAATCGACTGAGCAAACTTCTGTTAGAATAGTAGGCTTAGGAGAAATTAGGTTTTAGGAAGAGAGAGGATGTTTGGCCAAGCAAGAAGGGGTTTGACTATGGAGAGAGTTACAAGAAATAGGGCAAGGGAAGGTGGCCAAGGGGGGTATACCACCAACAATGAAATAGATACTACACTAACTAAGCTAATATGCAGTTATACATAGAAATACAATTTCTGACATCCCCCCTTAACTGCATACAAGCATAGCTAGTGAGGGGCGCTCTACCCTAAGTGCAGACTTCACCGGGCCGCAGCTGGGCCCACCGATACAACACACGATGGAGTTTCCCGCCTGCGGTTTAACCCCCGCAGTGGATGCCTGGTGTGCGCGACTCTGGGTGACCACGCCCAGAAACGACGGAGAAAAGGAACGAACGACAAGAAAACATTACGAAAGTAGAAAACAGAAAAGAAGAGACCCTTTCTCTCTCTCTCTCTTTCGTCCCCCCTTAACCTCTCTCATCCCCCCTTAACCTCTCTCCTCTCCCCCCCCCCTCCTCCTACCGCAACTAGTGCTGCAGGAAGAGAGGAAGAGAGAGAGGGGAGGGACGGGTTGCTGGAGGCTCACACCCGCCACCCCCACATCTCCCCTTCCCCCTCCCCCCCCCCCCACGACGGAAGCCGCGGAAGGGAGGGCGGGGGGGTGGGGCGGCAGTAGCTGCTACTTGCGCTGGCGGTGGCGCTGGCGCAGGCGCTGGCCGTTGCTCCGGCGCCTGGCGCTGACGTCCGCGCTGGCAGGGCTCGCGCGCGGGGCGACGGGCAGAGCGCGCGCGGGGCAGCCGACGAAGCGCACGCGGGGCGACGGGCAGAGCGCGCGCGGGGCAGGGCGTCCGCGAGGCAGCCGACGTGGCACGTTCGGGGGGACGGGCAGGGCGCGCGTGACGGGCGAACGGGAAAAAAAAAAATAGCGCATTTCGCGCTGTAGTACGGGCGGGCCCATGATTCTTAAAAATAAAATAGGTCCTAAGACCGTAGTGGCTCTGATAGCATGTTAGAATAGTAGGCTTAGGAGAAATTAGGTTTTAGGAAGAGAGAGGATGTTTGGCCAAGCAAGAAGGGGTTTGACTATGGAGAGAGTTACAAGAAATAGGGCAAGGGAAGGTGGCCAAGGGGGGTATACCACCAACAATGAAATAGATACTACACTAACTAAGCTAATATGCAGTTATACATAGAAATACAATTTCTGACAACTTCGCTGTTGTTTCTGGCAACATAAAAATTTGGCAAATTGTATTTGCGACGAATCTGTTCATTGCCTAGGGTCTGTTGCGTCCCTTTCTTCTCTCCCTCGTCAGTTGGAGCTTACGATGTTCCCACCTACCTATGCCAAGGTGAGATCTATCTTACCTATCATCCAAAACTAAGTTAGGTGATTACGAATTAGACATACTTCTTATGTTCTTATCCTACTCCTATCCTAGGGTTTCATTTCTTCTCTTTTTTTCCCGCTGCTTCCTCTCGCTCGCTTACACTCCCCAGCAGCAGGCACTAGTTCTTGCTTGTCTTCTCTCCTAGACACACTGGTATGTCCGTTTTTTTTTCCAAGTTTGCATCTTCGTCAGCTCAAGTATATAGTTCTCGCGACATAGTTTTCTTCTATTTCGTTTTCCAGTTATGCCACTTTTTGCTTTTCTGGTCGTTATTTCGTTTTCTCAACTTTGATTTCCACCTCATTGCTCAGTAACGTAGCCGTTTTCCTTATTCCTTTCTCCTCCGTTTCTATTCGTCGTAGTTTTCGTGCATACTCTACTTTCTACATTTTCACTTCCATTTGCTAACCTAGATTGATTTAAACCATTTCGACCCGAGCAGCATGTCGTTCTCTCTCTCTCTCACTTTCGTTCTATCGCTCTCGTTATGTCGTTCTCTCTCTCTTTCATTCTTGTTCTGTCTCTCTCTCTCTCCCTCTCTCTCTCTCTCTCTCTCTCTCTCTCTCTCTCTCTCTCTCTCTCTCTCTCTCTCTCTCTCACTCTCTCTCTCTCTCGTTATCTCTCTCTCGTTCTCTCTCGTTACAACCATTCTCTTCATTCCTTTTTAAACTTCAATTCTTAATATCGCATCTTTCTTCTTCCATTCGATGCTTCTTCTTTTTTGTTATCGCAGATAGTGACCTTTAAGACAGATTTGAAGGGAGTGTCGTACCACTTACAGTGCAATTTTTTTAGTTCCTCCAATTATGAGTAATTGTTTGATTTGTTTTATTTCTGTTTATCTTATGCTTCTTCTCGTTGCAATCGTAATGCATATCTGCATGTTTCAAAAACATATCTTGCCGATCATCGTCACAAAAGGTTGAGTGGTCCACCACTATGACAGTGTAACCATTTTCAGCTGGACTTGATCAGTTAAGATATTTGTTTGGGATATGCAGATTGTATTGCTTTGTTACGATAGCTGTTTAATTTTACGTTTATATTGCTGACTTCCCCGACACGCTAGGCGGGGGAAGCGGTAGTATAAATTTAGGCCTTCGAATACCGTATTCATCAATTCGTTTGATGAATATGAGAAATGCAATTATCGTTTGGTCGGTCATTGCAGTTCTCCACAGAATCTCAATTTTCTGAATCATGCGCATTACAAAAGAAAGAAGCAGAGTAGCAATGTCTAGCAAATAATCAGAAAGCTAAACAAGTCCTGTATCGTCGTTATGAAAAGATTGTCAAGTTAATTAGTAACCTAGAAACAAGCATTTCCAGTTATTTTAATTTTTTTTTTTGCAGATAATTAGAAATTCGTGAAAATTTTTTTGCTTTAGGTCGATTGCAATAGGTTGCTTCGCAACCCAAAAAATGAGAACCATGACATTCCTACATTCTACATCACTGTGCAGCAATGCACTTTCAGACTAAGTTGGCAGCATAGGAACATCAAATGCGAGGCCCAACAGAGTGGCTTCGGATGCCTTCAACCGTTTGATGCTCTCCTCCAGTCGAGTCCTACGCTGCTCATCCACTGCTTTCAGGGCTGCAATCTTGGAAATGTCCCCACCATGAATCTCCTGCCACACAGCGCCATCAGTGTCGTCGAGGAGAGCAGTCTCGAGGCACATCCGTATCTCCATGGGGATCACATCACATAGCCTCTTGTGTGTCACCTTGGCATACGAAAACATATTGATTTGCAGATCCCTGGCTGCCTGGTCGTCGTTGCTGATCAAGTTGGCGAGTGAAGCAGTGCTGGAGCCGAAATCGTCAACAGAGGGAGGGGCTGGAAGAGCTTGAACCGGGGCATATGGCGAATTCTGGACGTATGTCGGAATCGGGACAGGTGACTGCGCTTTTTTGAAATCAGCAATCTTCACGTGGATTTTAGAAACCGTGTCCATGTAGTAATGGTTGAGCGTGAAGATAATCCGCTTCTCCTTCGTCAGCATGTCTTGGACGAAGTGGCTTGCTGACTCCTTGGCCTTCCTGAGGGCATTGATGTCAGAGGTCCACTGGTGATCCCCGATCGATCCTAGGGAAGGGTTACAGGCACGTTGGCCTAGGGGGTTATGGGCGCACTCACCCGCTACACAAACAAGCTCTTTTATCCCAGTGGTTAGTGACTGGGATTCTGACATGGTATCAGAGCGAAGGTCTCGGGTTCGAATCCCGGTGTATGCACCTCGGGCATCCCAGTGCGGGGGGGTGTCAGAGGTCCACTGGTGATCTCCGATCGATCATAGGGAAGGGCTACAGGCACGTTGGCCTGGGGGGTTATGGGCGCACTCACCCGCTACACAAACAAGCCCTTTTATCCCAGTGGTTAGTGACTGGGATTCTGATAATTGAGACCTTGGAGATGAACCACATTGTTCAGCCCTGGGTACATCCCGCAGACGTGTGACGCCACAGCCTGCTGCATCTCGGTTGCATAAGCGAAACAGTCATTCACCAGCAGCAGGCACGGCCCTTCAATGCTTTCCACCACCTCCTGAACAAGCTGCTTCACCATCGCCTGATCCAGCACGTTTGGGAGCGAAACCCCAGCCACCTCTTTCAGAGCCTCCTTACACCTTTCAGTGTAGTTTTGTCCAAGGAAATCCGGGAGAACCTTTCGCATCTTAGCCTCAAACTCGTTGAACTTCTCATGCAGCCTGGCAGCATAGTGCATTGCATCATCGCTCTGAAACGGGCCATACCTCCCACTGATGATACCACTCATCATGTCCCGTCGCTTCTGAATCGTTGAAGAAATTACCCCCAATGCTGCAGCATTAGATGTGGCTGCAAACGGAATGGTCTGCAGTTCTGTCTCCTTTGCAGCAAGAGCCTTCTGAATGGCCTGCCTGATCCTTGGGATGCTGTCTGCCACTCGCTTGGCTTGAATCTCCGTCAGGCGTTGAGCCAAGGCTGGAATTCCACGGGAATGCGCCTCGATCTGGCACATTTCTGAATGATTGTTGAAAAAAGCCTCCTCTGCCCTTCTTGCCTCCTCATGAGAAGCATCAGCGTCAGTCTTGTTCCTGACACACACGTAGCCAAGTCCAATGCGCACAGAATCTCCCTGGATCTTCTCATAGAGGCCATCAGGAGCCCGGTCTACCTTGGTGACGACAGCCAGCGTGCGATCGCCATCCTTGTCAACCTCTTGCGACATCACAATGGATTCACATGTAGTGAAATCCACCTCAGCTGCAAGAACGTTAAGAATCACGCTCTCCTTCGGAGTAATGTAATGCATTATCATTGCCTTAACCTGGTCGTAAATGTCCCTTGGCTGGTCGATTGGAACACGCGTGATTCCGGGCAGATCCACCAACGTCAAATCAGGTAAGCCGGGTCGCTGCACTTCCAGAGTAATCGGGCAATTCATGACACCCTTCCTGCTCCCAGCTAAGGCCACCATCGCCTCCGAGATCTCGTGCTCAATCATATCTTGGTCAGGTAAGACTTTGGATACCTTACTGTCAGAATGTTATATTCTCTAGCCTGCAGTGGGGTGCTCTATAGCGAGTACAACCCAGTTAGGGTTTGCTATTTGTATCTCAACTGCTGCTAGTGAAACCCCCTTCTTTTGCCTAAACTTCTCTTGCCTAGCTAGGGTTCTCCTAGCTATGGCTCCTTCGACTGTCTACTATCTCGACATGGTATCAGAGCGTTCACGCTCCTGGCCTGTGGGCCCCACTGCTGCTTCCGCTGCCCTACTCACGGGGCGCGCAACCTTAAAATTTTCATCCCGCCGTGCGCCCCGAGGCGCGCGGCGGTTTCCAGCCGTGGGGGAGCCCGCGCGCACCCCGCCCGTCCGTCGCGGCGCCCTGGGGAGCACTCGCGGCCCCCACCCTGCACGTCGCGACGCCCTGGGGAGCCCGCGAGCGCCCCGCCCGTCCGTCGCGACGCCCTGGGGAGCCCGCGAGCGCCCCACTCGTCCGTCGCGACGCACTGGGGAGCCCGCGAACGCCCCGCCCGTTCGTCGCGACGTCCTGGGGAGCCCGCGCGCGCCCCGCCAGTTCGTCGCGGCGCCCTCGGGAGCCCGCGTGCGCCCCGCCAGGCAGTCGCGGCGCCCTGGGGAGTCGCGCGCGCGTCCCCCCCGCCCGTCCGTCGCGGCGCCCTGGGGAGCAACGCGCGCCACACCCCTCCACCCGCCCAGCCCGTCCGTTCTGGCGCCCTGGGGGTCGCGCGCCATCCCCCCTCACCATCCCCCGCGCTCCTGCCCCTATCCCACCCGTTTTAGGGTTTCGGGGGTGAGGAATGTGGGGGTGGCGGTTGTGGGGGTGACGGGTGTGTGCGCCGTCCCCTGCTCCTCCTCCTCCTCCTCCTCCTCCTCCTCCTCCTCCTCCTCCTCCTCCGTCTCCCGCTGCTGCAGCTGCCGCTCAGGGGGGTGGTTGTGTGGGGAGCCGAAGGAGTGGTGCTAGGGGGTTGAAGGTGTCAAACATTGCATGTTTATATTGTCTAGGCTGTAGTGGGTTACACCTTAGGGGGTACACAAAGTTAGGGTTTCCTACTTGTACCAAACTCTGTTCTAGTTCATTCATTCCTGCTCAGTTATTTCTGACATGGTTTCAGAGCAGGTCCTTCGCTAGGACTGTTCTTAGGGCCCACCGACTTACCTACCTGCTTACCTTCGCTTGTTTCCGGCCCCGATGGCCCCGTCGATCTAGCACGATCTAGCGGCCCTGCGGCCCCTTCGAATTTTTTTCCTAGCGGCCTCTCACGGCCCCCGTCGCGTCGCCCCTTAGCGCCCCGATCGGCCCCGTCACGCCGCCCGCGAACCGCACAGCGCGCCGCGCTCACAGCCCGCGAACCGCCCACGCACAGCCCGCGAACCGCCTGCGCAGCCCGCGACCAGCCCGCGCAGCCCGCGCACAGCCCGCGAACTGCCCGCGAGCAGCCCGCGACCTGCCCGCGAACCCCCGCGAGCCGCCCGCGACCCGCTTACGCAGCCCGCGAGCAGCCCGCGCAGCCCGCGCTGAGCCTGCGCGGCTCTTGCGCTGACCGCCGCCGGCCCGCACGCTGCCCGCGCAGCTCACATACGGCCCGCACGGCCCGCGCGCTGCCTGCTCCCGGCCCGCCACTGCTGAGCCCGCAGCCGCCCGCGCACCGCTGCTGCTGAGCCCGCCGCCGCCCGCGCACCACCGCTGCTGCGCCCGCCGCCGCCCGCGTATCACCGCTGCTGAGCCCGCCCCTGCTGCGCCGGCTCTCGCTGCCGCCTGCTGCGCCTGTGCACCACTGCAGATCCTACTACTACACTTCCTGCTACTGCTGCTTGTGCGCCACTACAGTCCGTAGGCCCCACCGGCCCCGCTGACCCTGCGCACGCCTTTTCAGTGACTTTACTGCTTCTACTACTGCCGCTGTCGCTATGGCTAGTCCTCCTGTTCTAGCTTTCGACGCCGAGGGCCGTCCGGTCAAATTCGAAACCTGGCTAGATGACCTGCACCTTTTCCTACAGCTCACTGCCAAGGAAGATATTACACTGTACGACCACGCTCTCGGCCATGCGACCGCCCCACTCGCTACTGCCCCCCCAGCTGAGCGCTCACAGTGGCAGACCCGTGACGCGCACGCTCGCTTTGCTATTCGCAACTCCCTGCCGCTAGATGAGCGCGAGCACTTCGGCCAGTGCAAGACTGCTAAGGACCTCTACACAGCTGTAGTGGCCCGCTACTCCTCACCCGCTTCTGCCACGCTAGGCCGCCTCACTCTCCCCTACCTGTTCCCCGACCTAGCCTCCTTTCACACTGTCGCAGACCTCATCACCCACCTTAAGACTAGTGAGGCTCGCTTTCGCGCTGCCATGCCTGACGAGTTCCTCGCTAGCAACCCCCCCCCGCTCTGGATCACTCTCTACCACGTTGTCACCCGCCTCCCTGACTCTCTGCGCCCTGTCAGGGACCAGTTCCTCTCTCGCTCCCCCACTGAGCTCACCGTAGACCTCCTCGAGAAGGAACTGCTTGCAGCCGAGGCTAGTATCGTCGCTGTAGGCACCTCTCGTGGCGACCCCCGCGGCCCCTTCTTCGAGGGGTGCTCCCCTTCCCCCCTCCTCCCCTCTGTCGCCTCTGCTGCTGCTGTCGACCTCCTTGGTGCTGAGAAGGTCGGGGCTGCGTCTGCTTCAGGCGGACGACGCAGGGGCAGGAGTGGCAGGAGTGGGGGTGGTGGCGGAGGAGGCGGGGGTGGAGGTGGTGGCGGTGGAGGTGCGACTGGAGAGGCTAGTGGCGGCAGTGGTGGAGGTGACAGCGGCGTTGGGAGTGGTGACAGGGGCGGAGGTGGCAGCGGAGGCGGAGGTGGTCGTGGCAGCGGCAGGGGTGGAGGTGGCCGGGGCGGAGGCGGAGGGGGTGGTGGTCGTGGAGGCCCGGGGGGCGGTCAGAGTCAGCAGCCTGCCCCGACCCTTCAGGCCGCCCGTGAGTGGTATGCGCGGCGCAGCGTCACCTGCCAGTACGTTATTCGTACAGGTGACCGCACTGGCCAGACGTGTGGGGGGCCGCACCAGACGGAGCGCTGCTTCGCCCGCCTCAACGATGCGTGGCGCACCCAGTTTCCTGGTGGGGGTGAGCTGCCGCGCTGGGCTGAGCTGCTCAGGAAGGGTGTTGATATTTGGGCACTAGACTTTGATGCTATTCTCACTGCCATGTATGCGATGTCTATTAGTGGAGAGGGTGCTCAGTACTTGCGTGTTCCGCCCGACCCGGGCATTCAGGCCAGCCCCGCTGCTGCTCTAGGTGCTAGTGTGTCTGCTTCCACAGGTACTACTGCAGCTGCTGCTCTAGGTGCTTGTGCGTCTGTGCCCCCTGGTACTGAGTCGACTGCAGCACTGCACACCTTCACACTGGACTCAGGTGCTTCTCGCTCTTTCTTTCGTGACCGCACTGTCCTTGAGCCTCTAGCTCGGCCGGTTGCTGTCTCTCTTGCTGACCCCTCAGGGGGTCCGGTCCTTGCGACCTCCTCCACCACCCTTCCGTGTCCAGCGGTTCCGTCCGGCACGCTCTCAGGTCTCTACCTCCCCTCGTTCTCCACGAACTTGGTGGCAGGTAGTGCGCTCCAGGACGGGGGTGTTCACCAGTTCACCCCTGCCTACGAGCGTGTGACTCACTGCACGTGTGCTCGGACGGGCCGCCACCTAGCTACTTTCACTCGAGAGCCGGGGTCTGACCTGTACACACTGACCACTGAGTCCCCTCAGGTAGCTGCGTCTGCGTCAGCGTCAGGTCAGCTGTCCGCCCCCTGCTCGTGTCGCTCTCTGGCGAACGACACCGTCCTCTGGCACCACCGCCTTGGTCACCCGTCTGTGCAGCGCCTGCGGGCCATGCACAAACGGGACCTTGTTGCTGGTCTTCCCAGGGTGCTCCCTCCCCTTCCTGACTCCCCTGCTCCTGACTGCATTCCCTGTGTCGAGGGGCGGCAGCGCGCCGCTCCTCACTCCTCCTCCTTTCCCCCGACGACCGCTCCCCTGCAGACGCTCCACATGGACGTGTGGGGCCCAGCCCGCGTCCGTGGTCAGGGTCAGGAGAGGTACTTCCTGATAGTTGTTGACGACTACTCGCGCTACACCACGGTCTTCCCCTTGCGCGCCAAGGGTGACGTCCCTGGTGTTTTGATCCCCTGGATCAGCCGAGCCCGTCTCCAGCTAGGCGAGCGCTTTCACTCGGACTTTCCTGTCCTGCGCTTGCACTCTGACAGAGGTGGTGAGTTTGCCTCCGACCTCTTGGCAGCCTACTGTGCTGAGCACGGCATTGAGCAGTCGTACACGCTTCCGGCCTCTCCACAGCAGAATGGGGTCGCTGAGCGCCGCATTGGCTTGGTCATGGAGGTCGCTCGTACCTCCCTGACCCATGCGGCTGCTCCCCACTTTCTGTGGCCGTTTGCGGTCCGGTACGCAGCGCATCAGCTCAACCTCTGGCCCCGTGTCTCCTTGCCGGAGACTTCCCCGACTCTACGGTGGACGGGAGAGGTTGGCGATGCGTCGCGTTTCCGGGTCTGGGGATCTCGAGCTTTTGTCCGCGACACGTCCGCGGACAAGCTCTCGCGTCGCGCTGTTCCCTGTGTCTTTCTTGGCTTTGTTCCCGACGCGCCTGGATGGCAGTTTTACCACGTCACCTCGCGCCGGGTTCTGGCCTCTCAGGACGTCACTTTTGACGAGTCCGTCCCCTTCTACCGCCTCTTCCCCTACCGCACTGCCCCGCTCCCCCCCCCCGCCTCTCTTCCTCGCTCCAGGTGCTGAGGTACCAGACCCCCTCCCCCCTCAGGGTGCCGCTCCCTCAGGTGTGTCCTAGGTAGACCCGGGTGAGCCTGTCGAGGTAGCTGTTGACTCGCGTCCTGCGTCTGGGGGTGCTGAGCCTGGGAGTGCTGCGTCTGAGGGTGCGGAGCCTGGGGGTGCTGAGCCTGGAGGTGCGGAGCCTGGGGGTGCTGAGC